CGTGGTGGGAGCCTATACAGGGCTATTTTGACGCTATGGTGGGCCGATGTTGGCTCATTTCGAGGCTATGTTGACCATTTGAAGCTATGTTGGGGCATCTTGAGTCCTACAACAAACCCGCGTAAAATTTTATTACTTTACGCAAGTTTTTTTTGACGCATTTTGCGACCTTCTTGGGCCGATAAAGGACTATTTTGACGCTATGATGGGCTGATGCTGAGTCATTTCGAGGCTATGTTGGGCCATTTAAAGTTATGTTGGGCTATGTTGGACCATTTGAAGCTATGCTGGGGCATCTTGAGTCCTACAAAAAAAAACGCGTAAAAAATTGTTATTTTACACGGGTTCTTTTGAACGCATTATATATATAATGACTTGTCAAGGTGGGAATCATACGAACTAAAGCAATTGATTTTACATTGTTCGTAGCCCATGTGTGTTAAATGCCATGAGTCGGACAATAGTGGTTTTATTGTTCTGGCATAGACTGTTTTCCAACTGTTTTTGTCATGTTTCCACCCGCAACGACACTCCAGGTTCTCCTCCTCTCCTGGTACAGTGGTACTCTCCTGCCGCGATGGCCAGAGTTTTCATCAACCCAGAAGGTATTGAAGCCAGACAAAAACTGGGGCTATACAACCGAGTATCATAGAGACATGGATATGGGGTTATGATGTGAATTTATCTGTGCTTGGAACAAATTATGAGTATGTATTGATGTGTTGCTGTATGTATTTAAGATGTCGAGACTATGATGAAAAGTCTGGGAGATAAAACCAACTATAGATCATCATAAGGAGATCAATGACGATATCATGTTATTAGAAATGAAGCTATCAAGCCACGTATTGTAGGGATATCGGATATGGGGTTAACAGGGAAAATATGTGTTTCTTGAAACAATCTATTACTATGTGACATCCCTTTTTTTCTGCTCTTGCAGCGGCTCTCCAGCTCTGCGCACAATTGGCTTCGTCCGCGGAAGCTGCCCAGCCCTACGCGCGCAGAGAACCACAGTACATCCCTGCACAACGACTTTCAAATGCTTAAATGACAGCTTCAGGTTCAAACACAGCGCTCGCGAATGACAAAAAACAGGAACTCGGCAATGCTGTACAGACAGCCAAACTCTGTGCCGTTCGCGCAACTGCTACGCATAGCTGTCCGCTGGCAAATATGCTGGAAGCTTTCGTGGAGACTAATGTAATGTTGTGTGATTAGTGTAGTGTAGCAAAACCGAGTGTAAACATAGTATGTAGTTAGTGTAGTGTAGTGTAGTGTCATGTAGTGTCGTGTAGTGTAGTGTCGTGTCGTGTCGTGTAATGTAGTGTTGTGTCGTGTCGTGTCGTGTCGTGTTGTGTAGTGTAGTCTAGAGTCTAGTGTACGTGCTGTAGTGTAGCGTAGTGTAGCGTAGTGTAGTGTAGCGTAGTGTTGTGTAGTGTAGTGGAAGGTAGTGGAGGTGGTGGAGTGTGGTGGAGTGTCACCTCGTGTAATGTAGTGTAGCATACTGTACTTGAAAGTAGTTGAGTCAATTGAGTGTAATATAGTGTAATTAAGTGCGGTGTAGTCGACTGTAGTATCGTATAGTGGAATGTAATGTCGTATACTGAAGTGCAATAGCGAAGGTATAGTGCTAGTTCTAGTACGTGTTGTAGCTGTAATTGTCGTTAGTGTAATGTAGTGTCGTGTGGTATAGTGTCAATGAGTTTAGTCATTGTACTTTAATGTAGAAGTGTTGTGTAATTGAATGTACTTTAGATTACTTTAGTATCATTCCGTGTCGTGGAGTGTAGTGGAGTGTCGTGGAGTGTAGTATATGGACTGTACTAAAGGTGTGATAGTTGTTGTAGTTGTCGTGTAGTGTTGACTTCTAACCTTCCTTACCTTATTTGCCAACGTCTTCGTGCACTCACTCAGCCACTCAATCAGCCTCTCCTTCATTGTCTGAGCCTGCCTCCGCTACTTCGCGCAGCCCGTACGCGCAAGCACGGCTGGCTCGAGATACAGCGTCGCCAAGCCGCCGAGCCAAGCGACGGCGCTTCGCTGGTGCCCCGCCGCATCCATGCAGCTCCGCCAGCGTCACACTGACCTTCGTCATTGCGGCCACATCAGCCAGCGCTGCTGCGCGCGCCGTCTTCACTTCACGCACCTCCTTGTCCTTCTCCAGCTGCTCTTTCAAGCTTTCTCCTTCCAAAAGATGTAAATGGCCATGAGTTGCAAGCTTGGGCCGAAGATACTCCCACGCTGCAGCTGTCACCTCACTCAAATGCACCTTCAGCGTCCGCCCACCAATCACCACAGCATGTCCCAGAACCTAAGTGTGTCATCACAACACACACCAAAGTCAAGCAATGTCAACCGTTTCGAAACTACATAACACTGCGCAAAGCAGTGGCAAAAGCTGCGAAAATAGGACACCCACGCGAGAGGTTGGTTGTATTTACCTTTGACTCTGTCGGTCTGTCTCTCTATCTATCTATCTACCGATCTATCTATTTATCTATCTATCTATCCATCCAGTTATCTATCTATCTACCTACCTACCTATCGATCGATCTATCTATCTATCTATCTATCTATCTATCTATCTGTCTTCTGGCTATCTATCTATGTATTTATCTTTCTATCTATCTGTCTGTCTGCCTGTCTGTCTATCTATCGCTCTGTCTGTCTGTCTATCTGTCTAGCTCTTTACCTATTTGTCGATCGCCATAACGGCTTGCAATTCCTGTGCTTTGCATCTGTCCATATTGTCGATCGTTTACTTCTACACTTCCTTCGACAACCCACAGAATCAAACAATTCTATTGTCAGCAAGGTGCTGCACCCACCGGCATGGGCGAAAGCGATCCCAAGAGAGCTTGCCGAACAGCCCGTCCCTGCAGATTGCTCAGCAAGCTGCCTGAAGCCAGCTCGATCTTCACGACGTACGAACGACATCCCGCAGCCGTCGGCTGCGCAGGCTGCGCATCCACGTCCATGGCCTCTGTGGGAAGCTCCTCCACGAGAAACTTCTCTCTCACTGCTTTCTCTACTCGTTGCTTCGCTATCGCCTCCTCGGGCAGCTGCATCGAGTAACTCACAGGTCCATTCGGCTTGCCATCAAATTTCACCGCAATGCCCAGCTCTTTCGAACATTGGGGTCCGAATTGATCTGGTTGCTCGAAGACCTTCTGATGTGCACGGTCTCGAACAGCCACCAAACGAAGCATTGGACCTATGGCCGCCATTGCACCTGCAATCCTACTTTCCGCGCACAAGTGCCACTCTCGAGCAGGCTACAACTGTTTCGAACCCCACTTCGGACTTCACTGAAACTTCCCCATATTTCACATCATGCTTCATACTTCACATCAGCTTCACGAGAAACAATCATCTCACAATCAAGCAGTCACCCTTGAATAAGAAAGATGTTAAAACAACGAAGTAAATGTGGAATGTCGTCTGTGACATCTGTTATCTGGCACATCAAACCAAAACCTTTTTTCGAGACATGCTAGATATCCAGCCTCCTCCCACGTGCCCTCCACATACCAAGCCTGCAGTCGCAAGAACGTCCAGCAAATCAAACAAAACGACAAAATTGATCAGGCAAGAAGTATTAAGAAATACTGCCACTCGGGCCTGGGAATGTACTTTTTCAAATGGGATCATATGGATTCAAGATCTTCATGAATATTAGGCACTTTGGATTCAAGTCTCATTTCAGATGTCCCGTCTGCGTTCCGCCTTTGGAAGGCGACAGCTCAGACCTGAAAAACGAAGCGAGACCCGTCTCAGGCACCAAGTAGACTTATGTTTTTACTCCCCACCATTTGCTGATCAGCTGGATAAACCAAAAGGACCTTCATAAACTCCAGGGCCACGTGAAAAGGTTCGTGTTTGCATCACAACGAGGGATGGATGAAAAAATCTAATCTCATCTCATCTCAATGCGGAAAGCGACCCTTTTTACCATGGCACTTCATCGTGACTTCGTGCTTCGAAATTTTGAAAACCAGCCCATGTCGAATCCGTGCAGACTGCACGTGCACTCAATGGTGCACTAGCCACCTTCGGCCAAGACGATCGCCCCGGTGCCGTGGTCACCGAGACACGAATGGTCCCATTTCCTGCGCTAACTACAGCTGACGAAATAAAGCAACGAAGTGTTTCTTCATTTCAATATTCGTCCTGTTTCCATGTTGCAACTTCGCCCATAACAAAGGAATACAAAGGATATATGATATACATGGGTATACTAGCATATACTGTGAGGCTCAGTGTCTTGACAGATGATGGGAACAGAGTGTTTCACTCGGCACATTTCAGATCAGAAACGCTGTCCTCTCCCTCCGCCATGATGCTGCAAGCGCTGGGCATCGTCCTGTGAAGCTGTAAGCGTTCTAAGTTCTAAGTCTAAACTTTCCATCATTTCTGAGCCAAACATGTTGCGCCTCTATGGCACGTATCCCTCAAGCCCATTAAAGTCCTACATTCAGCCCATGTTTAACGCATAAGTATCCCAGAAAACTGCGGCTCTGTCAAGGAAAACATGTTTCTGTTGGTCCATCTGCCGGTGCCCACTCGCAGCTGAAGCCGGTTTTCAGGACATGGTGGCTGGCTGTATCCACAGCGCAGCTCTTGGCTTTCCAGGTCACTTCCAACCCATGGCGACAGGTTTTCTCCACAAATAGTGTATTCATAAATCCACTTGTAAGTCATCATTTTCCTTATTACGATAGCCGTCTTTGCATGTCTTTGCGTGGCTCCTTTCCGTCTTCTCCTGCGTTTATTCTCTACATCGTGCATTCACATTCTTTTCCGGGGTCGGCGGCAGGGGCGGCAGCCCTTAAATGATTGCATATGATTGCTATGGATTGGTGAAATCCACCTGAAATATCATAGGGATATAATGGATTATCATGGGGATATAATGGGAATGTCATGGATTATTGAAAAAATTGCTATGGATAGGGATAATCTCCATGATATTCCCATAATCATCATCCACTGGGGTCCTTCAGCGCCACAAGCTGTTGCAGTGGCGCCACACGGCCAGTACGTTGGCCTTGAGGTCCAGATGCTGAGCCCTATGTCTGTGATGTAAACAATGTATTGTTTGTTGCTATGAGTATATTATATAACTGATACTATAGAATACATCTGTATGTATACATATATATATATATGTATTGATATCTATATATAAATTAATATATGTAAAACGTCGACACATCCCGCAAACAGAAGCAGCTAACTGCACCATCATGCAAACATTTCGTTCGGCAGAGAAAGAAACAAGAACAAAAACAAATATCAGCACTTTGGATATGACATGATATGAATGAATGAGGTTTGTATAGTTTGATGTGCAGCAAACCATGTGCAGCAATACCAACAGCGGACCGGGCACTGTTGGAAGCACCCCTAGGTCCCACAAAACACTACCAACCCAGACCCGCTCAGGCAAACACACAGCGCCTGCCAAAGTTTCAAAGGAAAAAAGTGCTTGTGGTTTGTCGAACTGGAATCATGGTGAAGTGTCACTAGCCAACGAAAAAACAACAAACACATGTTCTGATTCCTTCTTTCCTGGGAAAAAAGTTGAAAGTGAGATGCCCAATCTGGCAAATCGATCAGATACTCCGATTTACAAAGTCATCCTTTGCGCTTTCGCAGAAACATCCCTCTGCAAATCTTGGGTGGTGAACTCTGATGATGACTTGAAGAATTCTCAGCTTTCAGATCTTCAGCAATCCCTGGTTACCTAGGGTCGCTTCTAGCACCAGCATGGTTTTTTCCCTCAACAATGTCCACCCTGTCCTGCCTCCATCATGATGAAGGTTCTCCTGGCTTCCTTCTTGTCCCCGGCCTTTTGAGCACCTCCAAATTGCACATGGCCGTGCATGGCTCTGCGTAAAATCTGCAATTGCATCATACTGCACCTGTGCTATAGAAGGGAGGTTTGTACATGATTAGTACATCTGAAGATTACAGATGGCGTGACTGCAAAAGAGTCTTCCTCCCCTGCCCAAATGATAGAACCATATATATATTAGAACCCACCATCCCGCCTGCTTGCAATGCGGCCTCCACAGCTGAGAGGTCGTAGTGGGGTACCCAAGTCACCTGCCACTTGGCTTATTCCGAGCCGGATGCGACCATGACGCATGAAACAGCCCATAGTTCTCTCGTTCACTCTCAAATCAACAATAAATCAACCCCCCAAAAGAGGAAAATGTCACGATAGTCAAATGGCTTCAGCCCTTCCCATGGTCTTTATGGTTCACTAATTGTGACGCTGGGGGCCTCCGCTTTGCAGAGCCTCAGACCAGTACGGAAGCCCAGGTGCACCTGGTGGCAGCGACGCTAGTTGCATACAAACTGCACGGGCCGCAACTTTTACTAAAAATGTTGTTCAACTATATGTTCAACCAATGCTATTTTATTACATGCAAACTCAACTTGTTTCAGTCATGTTCCCAAAAAGAACGTCCTGTTCGGAAAACCACCAGCTTTGGGGAGAAACGTGTCTGTGAACTCATTGGACGCAAAAAAAAAACAGGATGACCAGCAGAAGAAATTTGGGTATGGGTCAACCATGGGATAACTCTAATCACAAATTGATCACTTTTTAATATGAAGCATCCAAATTTGGTGGTGATAATTTTCGTTTCTTTTGACCAATCCCCTTCCGAAGCATCACTTAGGTGACACCAAAATGCACCCCTGCCACCAGCTAGACATAACACTGTCCGCCTCAGAATCCACGATGACCCTGTCACCAGTTTGCACCAACGCTGGAATGACGCTGGACACAGTGGTGACACCCGCAGAATACCTCTCACACTGACATGCAGTTACGGTGATCATACACTATTGGGGATGCAATGGGCACAATATATATATATATATATATTATAATATTATATAATGTTATATAATATCATATAATGAGGATATAATTGATTTTTTGAACAAGAAATTGGATATAACGTAATGTTCACGTAGTTCGTATGGTTTCTCCTTTTTCTGGCAAGGTCCGGCTGTGGGTTTTGGTTGAAATGTCAACAACCTTTGCTGCTTGGAGGTCATCTCGAAGGGTTACGACATCTCCAAGGGTGCCCTAAAGACACTGGTTGATCATCATTTTTTGTTTAAAACATGTTCCCATCATTTTCCAACATGTTTCCGCGTTTCTATATTTTTTTGGTGTATGGTTTTATGGTTACCAACCGATATAAAATGAAGGTACGTGAGCCCTTGTCATACAACTCCGACCATGGAAGCGGCGCTGGGCACGTGATGGCTGCCTCCATGCCCAGGAACTCTGCTAAAGCTGCCTCCACCTCCAAGTGAGGCCTGTGGCTGGCAGCGTGGCGCCGTTGATGAACTTGGCTAAAGGAACATGTAGTTTCCCCCAGAAGATGTGTCATGGCGAATATGGTGGATTGGGGTGGGCAGCGTGCCCCGTTTTGGAAAACCCACATCAAAGATAATTACACAAAAGCACACGTTCCAAACTCCCTGCTGGAAGAACGTGTCATTATATCCTGTCGCCTTGTTCGTGTTTTTTTTCGTTTGTTGTTCGTTTGAGGGAAAGTCAAGTACGAACCATGCTCGGCTCAGAACGTGCACAAAGAAACTGACTGGACATGAGGACTGGGACTTTGCGCTGGCGTGGAAGCATGCACGGTCTTGCCTTAACGTTCAACGAACTTTGCTGAAGCATTCTGGCCCGTGCTCGATTTCTAGTTCGTCTGCAGGAAAACCATCGCTCCTTCGTGATGCCGGCAATTGAACTTCAACTGCCGACATCGCAAAGGAGCGATTACTTGACATCGCACCAAGGGTGCCACAAGGGCTCTGCGAAAAACGTGCTATGCTATGCCATAGTGTTCAAAGCACACCTTTGACACGCGTAGGCTCTCACTTTCTCTCCATCGGGCTTTTGGCTGGCGCACGCGTAACCCAAGCGCAACTTGCGCATGACCTCACAACGTTGGATCTCCGGCTTGCTCCTGATCTTCTCTTCAATGGCATTCAAAGCTTCCCCTGCGGCAAGTCGGGCTTCCAAAGCTGCAATTTTGCTGTCGGCCTTCTTCTGTTGCATGGTGTCCAAAGGTTCCCCTGCAGCAAGCTGGGCTTCCAAAGCTGCAATCTCGCGCAGTTTCTTCTCCTTGGATGATGCCCATGTCAAAGCTGTACTCACAGCCGTACTACTCACTGTAGACCCACCAGACTCTTTGAGTCCTCTGAGACTTGTGACTTAGCGTCGGCTCGCTCTTGCTTGCTTGGCCAGCGCGGGACAGTCGAGCTTTGTGTGACCTTCGGATTTGCAGTAGGCGCATTGGTGCAAGAGCGGGACACTTGCTGGCAGTGTGCCCCACTTTCTTGCAGTACTCACAGTTGCGAAAGAAGGATAGTTTGGGATACACGCCTGCCCGATGTCCCTCACCCTTGCATCGGCAGCACACTTAAAATGCCGACATTGCCCAAGGAGGGATTGTTTACCCACAGGCGAACTACAAATGCACTGGCCAGAATCCTTCAGCGAAGTTCATTGAATAGGTCAACACCATGCTTCCATGCCAGAATGATGAAACATGTCCCAGGTGCTGCGAATCACTGGGGGCAGGGCAGAGAGCCGCCATAGAAGCCACGCGGCCCACAGGCACCAAAGCCTCAGGAGTCGAATTCTCTGTTGGCAGCTATCTGTTGCATATTGGCGCGTAGATTGGCGTAAATGCGCAGCACACATCATTTGAAGAATCTTGGAAACCATGGAAACCCACATCAAACATTCTCAAACATACCTTACCAAAGTGTCAGATTGATTCCGTTTGTGAATGCTCTCAATATTGATCCACTGGGGCATTGCTGGATGTCATGGAACGCATGGAACAGGCAACCCTGCCATAGTGGTCCATGGTCTGCTCAGTGGCGACCAGGGCTGCTTCCAAGGGTGAGGCCTCGGTGCGACAGGTGCCTTTGTGCTATGCGAAAGATTGGAAGAGGATGTTGGGACCTAAAGGCTATAGGACATGGTGGGACCAATATCTGAATCTGTCCAATATTCACTGAATTTCTTCCACCCCACTATGGTGTCCCTAAGCTTCCAGCCGCGTAGCCAAGGGGATCCATCAGGCGAAAGTCATGGCTAGTTGGAACCTGCACCGAAGTTCAGTGATGGCAGCTGGCAGTTTGGACCAGAAACAATGACTCCTTGAAGAAGTTGAGGTGCAAAGAGGTGAGCACTCAACATGTGAGCAACGATCTTTTGTATCTCATAATATATCATAATTCAATGGATTGGTTTAAGGGAAAATCTACAGGAAAGCCCCATATTTAATGGGAAAATCTATGGTTTCCTGTAAATTTTCCCTTAAACCAATCCAATCATACTATGTCTCCAAGATTCACCTGGTTGGTATCAACATATTCGTTCACAAGCCAGCTTTCCACAACGATGCCGCACCTGCTCCGCAGTGGCACAGGCACTTTCCAGCGAGGCCAAGAAACTCTGCTCCGCCGGGGCCGGTGGGCACAAGGGCTCGGGGCCTGGATGCTCGATTGGAGGATCCAAAGCTGACAATTTGGCAAATGTCTATAAAGGATGAAAAAGGTCGGTTTTTTGGTAGATAAATATGTGATGATATCATCTATATATGTATAATATATATATATATTTATAGTTTTATGAAATACTTTATACATAAATATACATAATGCTTAATGGTTGATGTGTATTCATGTAAATCTAAACATGATCTGGGCTAAGTCTCCAAAGAGGCCAATGCTGGGAGTCCAACTCCACGACAAGGCTTTCGTTTCGCTCCGGGGCATCAAAGGCGCCTCAGCACTGGAACAATGTGGCTTTCATCAAACAAATACTGGTTGGTGGTTTGAACCCCTCTGAAAAATATGAAAGTCAGTTGGGATGATAATTCCCTCTGAAAAATAAAAAATGTTTGAAACCACCAACCAGAATAGGAATTTGATCGTACGCGCAGGGCTTCACCCTGGCCCTTCTACAAGAACGGAGCAAAACAATGAAGATCGCATGTTTGTGGAAGCTTCTGGGAGCGCGAATCTTGCAAATCACTTGCATTTGCACTGAGTAGTATCTTCTTGACCAGCACATGGGAGCACAGGTCGAGAGTGTCAGCCCATCATTCCAAACATGCATGGGTTTGTATGAAGGCTACAGAACCGCTCAATGGTATCTGGGATTGCTTCAGAACAATGACAACCAAGGCATTTCTATGTTGACATACAGGCCCACCTAGGCCCAGCAATGTTTTTTCGAAATGAATAGAAAAGTCAAAGCATTTGCAGTAGCAGGTCAACCTTGTCTCACAGACCCAAAAACACATCGAAACTACCATAACAATCAACTTGTTTTGATGGATGATGTAAGTGTCCGTTCCGGTTTTGGTCAAGTCCAGCATCTTGACCCAGATCCATTTGCCCATCCAAGGAGCATTCCGCAGCCAGTCGGCATAGGTGCGGTCCATTTCTGCTAGAGCCTGAAAAATTTGCTCTGCAGTTTCTGGGCGTACCAGGCCTTCTTGAAAATTTGAGAATACATACTTTAAAATTTGGGAGAAATTACAAAAGACTCAGGTATCATCCCAAACCTTAATCTAATCTGATTGTATATCATCTAACCTTGCATTAACCTTTGTCTAAATATCATCGGAGTGGCACAAAAAGGACTACACCTACTACATGATACTACAAATCTACAGTAGCTAAAGGGTAGCTCAAAGCCAAGGTGAATCTATGTTCAACTTCGCGCCTCCAACTCTGCGGTGGGCTTTCCAGTTTCATAGAGCACCCCAAGCCTTGATTGGTTGATCATCCCTGGTTGAAATATGTACATTGAAGCACCCATGTTTTCCGGGTTGCATCCCCAATTCTTGCTGGTTATATCATATAATATAATATATTATAATATAATATAATATGATATAATATAATATATTATATTATATTATATATATATGTGTTATATCATCTCCAACCCAGTTCAGTTGGGGCCCGGACTCCTGCCCCACAGCGGTGATCTCTGTAATGGCCTGGCCGAGCTCTGACAGCCCAACCACCATTGATGCTCACAGAATAATGGCCAAAACCATGATAAACAACGCTGCGATGGATAAATCATGGGAGCACCCCGCAGCCTCTGCGAGTTGGGGAATGGTATGTGCGGCAGAGATGCAGAACCGCACCTGAGTGGCACATGCCTTCAGACTTTACGATGAAATCTGCTGTACAAACCATGGGGGAAGAAATTGCTGAGCCGTCACAAAAAGACTTGGGCTCAACCATGCGATTCCATGCTAGTACTTGAGGTCCCCCACCCGCTCGTACAAGATAGGAACAGCTGGATTGCCGACCTTTGCACAATCTGTGCGGCCAACTGCGATTGTCGCCCGGTCAGGCATTGGTGGGATGGGCTAACCGGCTAACCCTACTAAAACATCGAGTCCACGAAGCCAACAAATGGACGTTGGGCAGGTTTGTCAGCTTGTCAGGACAACTTCCCAACCATAAGAAACGCCAGTGCACATCCAACCCAACTAGTGGAGATATCTGGACTCGTTTCCTACCAAGTGCTGAAATGCTCTACATCGGTTTCCCTTGCATGGGTTCGACTAAAGCCAAATCTGGAACAAAAATGCTTGATATAGAAGTCATGAATCAATTTATATTACATCACATTACCACCACTGTTTCAACCATATTAAACCAGCAAAGCCCCTGAGCTACCGACCACCACCACGGCGATGCCGCGATCCAAGCATCGACGGGAGAAGGCAGCCAGCTTCCATGGGTGGTGCAACCTCTGGACACTGACACCGGGAATTCCAAGGGATAGAAATTGAGATGGGAAAATCATGGGTAATAGTGATGAAATAATGGTTAATTGATGTTAATTTCATGGACCAACCATGGGAATCCATGGGATGTTGATTGATGTTATAGAAAAAATAATGATGTTGTCAGTTATCAGGTGCATTCTTTCTCGAATCTAGCGGTGTCCATCTTTTTTTTGTACGTGCAACTTGGTCGGCCAAGTTTATCTGGTTGCTTTGTGCAAGGTGCAAATCTTGGACAACATGCACACAGTGTATCTGCATCTTCTGTTTGCAGAACCTTTGCGTCATCTGACAATCACCCTTAATCACACTAAGAGTATCTAAGAGTCATGTTTCTTGGCATGATTCATATTCTGCATCCAATGTTAAAGTGCTGTTATCTGCTAAGCAGCACCATCACAGGTCCACCATAGATCCACCCCGAAGACAGCCTTTCCAAATCAGACCAGTCGCATGACGGGCACAATGGGCGAATCAACATCTCCAAGGACCTGTCGGTGGGATCTATGATACAAATCACCAGATTTACATCCAGTCTATGTCTATTCTGTGAATATGTTGACATCTATCATCATATTAATTATATATATATATATTTGAATATTTGATATCTTTAACATTAAAAGGTGGAACCGCGGCTCCTAACATCCTCTGAACCCGGGCCTTGAAACCCCTGCGACTGAGCTCATCTCTGAAATAGTTGGAGTTTTCTCTGATCGCAGCCAGTTTTCTGGCCTGAGAGTGGCCGGCGGAATGCCGGTTTCTCCATCTGCCAGAATAGAGTTATTATTAAGTTATTAATAGTTATTATTATAGTTTGTGTTTCCGAATTGTCCAAACTGGAAAGTTGTAAAGTCGCACCGCTCTTCTTGCTCCATCCCACTTTCCACAATGCTGCAACGGAAAATGTCTGGGCGGCTGTGCCCCTGTATCACCGCCCTCTTCACCCGAAATCACACGCAGAGCCTGCAGCTGAGACAGTACCATTCCAAAGGAAGATCCCATTTTTTGTCTTTTGTGGGAAAGTCATCTAGAAATCAAAAATGATGCGCAGGAACATCATGGAAAATCGTCCAGACATAATGTCATTTTTTGAAGATCGTCCAGAAATTATTTTATCACTGGAAAATCATCCATTGAATTGGAAAATCCTCTAGGGACGGGAAATTATTGGACAATCATCCAAAAAATGGATATCAACCAATCAACAAGTGCCTTCTCATGTTTTTTCCATTGCCACAATTTCCAAAGTCAGGTCGGCAACCCGCCCGCCTGTAGCGCCTGAGCAGCACATGGGGGCGCCATCGCGCCAGCAAAAACGCTGCCCGGCCTCAAGTGGTAATGTGTAGAGTAGTCCCATATCGGAAAAAACTGACACTATCGACTACACCAAATCATGGAACATCAAAGAATTATATGTGTATATATAATATATATATATATATGTAATCCTATAAAATCTATAAATCTAATATGTCACTTAAAAACACACCAAACCATCACACGAAGACCTTCAAACCCCGAGTGCAGTCCGAGCGCCCCACGCCACACGCCGAAGCTGGGCGATGACCTCTTTGGAGGCTGCCACGTAGCCACCAGCCTTGGATGATGGGGGGGCTACCCCCATGACTTCGAAAACCTCCATTCTTTGGGGAGAACATCCAGAAATTTGCTGTTCGTCTGAATCTAACAGCTGAAAGATGGTGGTTGATGATTTTTGATCCGTGGTCATATAATGTCATATGAGTCATATATATGTAATAACAATCAACAAAATAGTGCTCGATAGGTCTTGATCCATCCTCATAATAATATTATGAGAGAAAGAAAAAATGCACCTATGGATGCCCTGTATATCATATTGGGGCAAACCCGATAATAAATCTCCAATGTTTTTGGGTCTTTATACCGCCCATTTCTGATGAAATTGAGGATTCTTTATGGCATTTGGGTTTAACACATTACTCGATGTATCCATTCTTCATCCACTCTTGTTGGTTCTAATCCCCATGACGAACCTCCGGGTGTCGAGTTAGCCCAGAGACGCTGCCGAAGGACTTGGTGAAGGTGCCCATCATGACCTGATGTTTGATGTTTTTACAGTGGTTTAGTCGGGGTGTTCTGGTGGTTGTCTAGGAGTCTAGTGAGTCTAGTGGTTTTCTAGTGACTTTCTCGTGATTTGGGGTCCCAATGTTGACCCGTCTCACGAGTGAAACGCTTCCGATGGGGAACTATTGGATGCCTCTGATTTGGAAGTGCTGTCAAAATTCTCCCCGTCTCCGCACAACAGTGCGTTTGAAGTAAGGAACCCACCAGAAGTTTGGAAGTTTCGAAAAATTGGGGAAGTAAGCCCCGAAATCGCCTCTTCTTATGGGGAAACGAATGGACTTTCGTACTTTCTGAACCATGGGATGCCATGGCCCCATCTGAGGCCCACAACGTCCACCTCTTTGGTTGGAACTCCTAAGAGCTCGGTGACACCACGACCACTCTGTCCAACCGCGCCAATGGAGTGGGCCTGCGGTCTCGCCGTCGAAGGTTGATCCATTTTTGTGGGAAGATACAGTAACCCATAGGATCCATGGTGCTGCTATATATGGTAACATGGATCCCATCAATATACCCCAGTCATGTTAGCATATATACCAGCACCATGGATCCTGTGGGTAATGGGGATAAACTAAGGACTAGAAGTCCATCATTCTCCATCATACCTTGTTGGTAGCTAAACCTGCTTTCTCGCCTCATCCAAGTAGAGATAGGCGCCGTACTTGTTCTTCAAGGTGACAATCTCACCTCAGATCCCCTGACATTGGCAGATGTGGATGGAGCGTTTTCAGAAGTTCAGATGCTTATCTACTGATCATAAGACAGATAAGACAGCGACGCAATCGGCAGAAGTCACCCTCCATGGAATAGATGCCCTCAACCACCTTGTGGGTCGAAGGGACAAGTCTCTCCGGTCTCTCTGTCTCCGCCCCAAGTTCCAAAAGATCAGGAGGAATTGTTTATTATGATATAGTCTATAATCAAAAATACAAATCAAAAAAACTGTATAATCTATAATATCTATAATATCTATAATCAACTCGTTCCCCCTTTTTATGGGATATACCTACCAGGTCCGTCCAAGTCCTTCATGTTGGAAAGGTCTGAGTTTGCAGGCGACGAAGATCTTGCGCCATGGCCTTAGGTCCCAGGTCAACCCACTTGGGAGTGTCAAAACATGTCACCAAAACTCACGGAAAACCAAGTCATTGGCGAATCTCATCATGGGAATGGTGTACTTCAGAATGTAAGTGGAAAAATGACAAACTGACAAACCTACTATATATATATATATAGCCTATACACTCCTTTCGTCTGTTACGTTCAACTGACACACACACAGAGGGTTTGCACGCAGCAATAGTGTCACATCTGAGTCCTGAGTCATGTCTGGTTTGAGGACCCGGTGCTTTGAAACGACACAGGGAATCAAAATAGCTACAAGTCAAAACCCTGGTACCCTGGCGAACATCAAAACAGCTGGCAAATAGACGTATGTCCCCCGAATTTTGGGATCACATGCAGCCACACCATAGCATGCTTCTATCCGAACCGCTCAAAGTTGAGGCAAGCACTTGCCACTGCTTTGCCTGGCAATCGGATAGTGAAATCGTCCCCCATCTGCAAACTCCGGACAAAAAAAAGGGAGACAAGGACCACTGGCTGGAGATTGTACGTACCCAAAATATTTGAGGGTGTCAAATCTGGAATCTGGCGGAACCACAATCTGATTCAGCCTCCGCTCGTTTCACACAAGCAGCTGAGATGCTGCGCGCATCCAATAAGTTTCAAAGTTGCTAGTATTGACACCTGTTCCGTAAGTTCTCTGTCTTCAACCTGAACATCCAAACCTGCCAGCAGGGCCCTTGCTCAATGGCACGCTGCAATTCCTTTTCCAAAGCAGTCATGCTGTTGTGCCTTGGGGCGATACACCCAGACTGGTGGATGCCCGTCGCTAATCAAACCTTAGCCAGAAATTACAGATAAAATGTTAAAGGTAAACTAATCTATAAATGTGGTATAAATTACATTAAATTATAGTAATATTCACCATTTAGTTACCCCAATCCTAACCATCCTTCCAGTGACGTCGTAGTGAGGTTGTTGCAATTTTTCCGAATACATCTACCGATCTCCATCACGGCACGGCTACCCCAAAAATTCGATGTTTAAGGATATCATAGTTTCCCCATGATTGGTTATCCATGACATATGGTAAATCCCCCCAGGTACAGCCCTTTTTGTCGAAAGTGTTGGTTAGTTATATCATGCTATATTCATTCCATAAAAATCCCATATCATATCCCACCAAAACATGAAATTTCCCATCAAATCCCCCCGTATTGCATCGTGGTCTCCCATGAAACCTCCCATGGATATCCTATGTGTCGCCATCCTGCAGCGCCCCTGAGCTGCCAACGAAAAGGCCCGCACTGTGGCGCCAGAGAGCCGGACACCTCGATAAATTGTCCGGGAAAAAGGGAACATCAGAATAATGAGAATAACGACACATAATAGGAATAATAAACATGATGATGATGGTGATGATGATGGTGATGATGGAGATGATGATGATGATGATGATGATGATGATGATGATGATGGAGATGGTGATGGTGGTGATGATGATGATGATAATGGAGATGATGATGGTGATGATGATGGTGATGATGGAGATGATGATGGTGATGGTGATGATGATGATGATGGTGATGATGATGATGATGATGATGGTGGTGATGATGATCATGATGGAGATGATGATGGTGGTGATGATGGTGATGGTGGAGATGATGATGATGATGATGATGGTGATGATGATGATGATGATTGTGATGATATGTGATGATGGTGATGGTGATGATGATGATGATGGTGATGATGGAAAAGAAGATGATGATGATGATGATGATGATGATGATGGACATGATGATGATCATGATGGAGATGATGCTGGTGATGATGATGGTGGTGGTGATGATGATGGAGATGATGATGATGATGATGATGATGATGATGATGATGATGATGATGATGATGGAGATGATGATGCGGGTCCCCATCATTATCATCATCATCATAACCATCATCATCATCATCATCATCATCATCATCATCAGCCTGACTGGAATCCTGTCACACTTCAACCTATCAAATGACAACCAGTCGAAACTGACGATGACCACCACCACCACCACCACCAGCAGCACCACCACCGCTGCCACCACCACCACCACAACAACAACAACGACAACAACGACAACAACAACAACAACAACAACAACACCAACAGCAACAGCAGCAACAACAACAACAACAGCAGCATTCACAACATTAACAACACGTGGCAACAAATGACAATACATTATGATAATAATGTAGTATCAATAAACAAACAAAACTGATACAGCAACAATTCATGGTGACCCCCTTCCCCCCACCCCCGCAGGCCTTCTACGATGGATCGATGGTTCAACTCATCGCTGAGCACTAAAATCCCGCCACCTCCGGCCTGGATACAAGGTGAACGTCTAGCTGTTCCACTGAAAATACGGATTTCGTGTGGGGCTTTAGAAGGATTTAATGGTGACAATTAGCGAACTGATGGGAATCCTTTCGCCAAATGATAATCCATGGATTGGTTGAAGGGGAGAGGAAATCAGGGCGCTGACCCCCAAGCTTGAAGGCTTCAACCGTTTCGACCGTAAATTTTACCATCATCCAGTTCTGAAGTACCTCAGAACATTACCGGACTGTTGAAGTGAAATTCAGATCTTTTGATTTTCTTTGATGTGTGCCATCTGACCTTTTCAAGAACAATATGATAAATGGACCTGATAACCTGTTGAATCATGGTGAGCCTTACTATATATTTCGTTTCGGAAATGGGCTGAGATGGCATATTCCAGGTCGCAACAATTGATCCATCTCTGAGCAACTTTTCAACAAACTCTCTTGACCAGGACATCAACGTTTGCACACATGGCAGCACCCCTGTGCCCACCTTCGCCTCAAACAGAGCCGGCAGAATAGTGGAGTTTGTTGCAAAGCCTCAAATGGCTGACTTGCTGCGATGCAGAATGCCAGGATTCTTGTTCTTGGAGTCGCAAGTCAAAAGAAAGTAGTGAGCCGCCTGTTCAGGTACCCCTGATGGCCGAGACAAACTAAAACAACAGACACAAAACAAGAGCGTGTATTATCTATATATATATACACTTATTTTCTGTGTATAGATAGATATAAATTGTAATTGTAAATATGTGCCAACTCCATTGCACATGTTTGTCACATTTGTCGCCCTTAGAATCAAAAGGTCATCACCATGGCGAGCTGTTCACCCGTCGGCGTCCCAGCCCTTCAGCCTGGGGTGCCCCAGCCCATGCCAAGCACCAAAGCATCCTCTTTGCTCAGATATTTGGCAACTTCTCGCTCCAACTCTCGGTGGATCTCCTGTCATGCGATTGTAAAGACTGGGTTCCACCTGGGGAGTCTAGTGGACAAGGAGTTGCGGGCCAACAAAATCCACCCTTTCTGTTGCATAAGGAAACCAATCTTTGGGCAAAGGTCAGTGCTCCAAAGATCGTTTCCTGTTTAGTCTAATACATGTTCTGCCTTCCGGGCACGTCCTATTCCACATTTTAGATGCCTTAGATACAGTACCCAACATGGGCCGAAAACCAACGTCAATTCCCCCTCATGTCCCCAAAGGCGGAATTTTGCTTTTCTAATTGGCATCGAACTTTTAACCAGTTTGGAACAATTTGGAGGGTGTTGCAACATATCTTGACACCGGATGCTGTTGATCCATATTGACCAGCTCATGCAGGCATATATACAGTGTATATAAATATATGTATGTATGCAAGCATGCATACATACATGTATGTGTGTGTGTATGTGTGAATGCATGGGACCCCAAGCCCACCTTGGTTCCGCCTTCAGTACCTCGGCAAATGCAAAATCTGAAATTGCTCTGGGACTGTAGTGGTTTCCACCATGGATTAAAAGCGAAAACCATCAAAAAGAAAAAACATCTTGAATAACTTGGGATATCTTGGGGATGATCTTCAGTGCAACCCCCAACATCTCCGAACCCCTAATTCAAACATGGCCGAAATGAAATGACTTCTTCGCCCGGGCCCTTGGCTCCCAACGGGTTCCGCAGCTTGACCAGCCAAGCTCCCTCACCGCCCTTCGAGCGGCTGGCGTGCAAAACCTGGCCACCAATGTTTTGCCACTGGGTTGAACTACTGACAGTTGGATGATTCAGAAACTGTTGAAAGTTGGGGGAAGTGGGCAGTGAATTCAACATGATGAAACCCGAAGCTGGGCATGTCTTATGCTGTTTTTGAAACTACCGAAATGAGCTTGCCTCATACATCACAGACTCTGTTTGCATGTTTGCTGAAAAATACCGTCAATCAGGATGGTTTCACTTCCATCAAGAAGAAATCAAAGCCTCAAACATGACTTATGACTCTGACCATGACATGTCCCAGGCTTCCCCACTCGTCCACACCACCGAACCCCAAATAGTTGTAGCTCGAGAGGTTCACACACATCCTCTCCAGGATTCAATGGAGAGGCCCACAACTGCCCCACTAGCCGCATCGAGTCAGGACCATGACAAGCTCGGGGAACTCTTGAAACTTCGGATGCCATCCATTTGGGTTTGTCTGAAAATAGGGTATATTCCCAATGAAATAGCCATTTAATAGGGATAATGATCATTAACTATTGGGTTTAGGTACACTATTTTCAGACACATCCATTTGCACATCCATTTGCACATCCATTGCTGGTCCCCAGTGTCCATGCAGCGTCCTTCGCTTCTCCGTCAACTTCAGATCGTTGATTGGACCAAAGAGATCTCCACCGGCGCGCTCCTGAAAGATTCAGAGGTGGCAGGGACACAAAATCTACCTTCGCAACCCAGAGTTACCATTTTGGGTTGGTGAAGAAATCATTTCAAGGGTTCAGCATTACGAAGAATGGCCTGGAATAGGATCGAAAATGAGTATGTCCCAACATAGAGGTTAGCCGGACACCCCAACACTCCTGCCCCATTTTTGGAAAGACCCAGTATCGGTGTCCATGGAACTCATCTCTGGCGATTAAAAGAAAATCACCAGTGAACTGAAGGCAGTGTAGAGCTTTGCGCCAACAGGATCATGCAAAAATCAGCTGTGAAGATTCTATGATCAAGCTCTAAAATCCAAGTGAATCACCATTCTTAGTTGGTTTCATCGTGTTATCTCCCTTTGATCCCCATTAAAGAAACAAAGGTTCCTCGGTTTCTGTCGCCGAGATGCTCGCACCACCACCTCCACTGTGGAATCTGGGGCAGAAGAGATGGGCCGGGCGAAGCAATCCACATACAACTTGTACCTTGCGGACAAGAAGAAAGACAAGTTAGAAATTTAACTGGGATTGCGGACATCAAAACACCCTTTTTTTCACCAAGTCAATTCGTGAATCATCCTGTTTTTATAGGGGATTGCCACTGATCTGCAGAGCTGGAAACATGTGGAAAGCGTGACTCCCAACTTTTTAGGCGTCGTTGATGGATTAAGTGATACCCTCTGGTTATGATTAACATAGCCATGGGAAATGGCCCATTTATAGACTGGTTTACCTATTAAAAATGGTGATTTTCCATGGCTATGTTAAATAACCAGAGGGTACATTGGATTAAGTGTCACTGAGCAGTCAACAGAAGGTGCACCTCTGCATGAGTGATGGGCAAATTCCCAGTGACCTTCCATTGAAATTGATCAACTGAGTTCTGCACATGTGCTGGAGGTAGAAATCTGTCCAGCCAACGCTCCACTTTTCTCGATGAACCTCAGGTTGGTATCAAACTCAATATATACATGCGGACTAGCACATAGAATATCCAATTTCATTGACTATGCAGTTAGAATAGCCTTAAAACCATATGTCCCCGGGGCAAAAACCAGTGCACTTAGAATATTCCATTTTTGCACATATATAACATAACTATAAATAAAGCATGATTTTAATAGAAATTTAGGACTGATTCACAAAATGTGGTATACAGGAAAATTGCTTTTTCACAGCAGTTGTTCTAACTTTTCACATATTGACATATTGCAGCACTACTACTACCCTTCCTGCGTTAACAAGATGTTCCTGTTCCTTGCAACTGCTCAACTCCTTTCTGATTTTTCTTGGCATGTATCAGTATGGTCACAGTATGTGATACATTGTTATACATACATGTACTGAATAATTCATACACATATCACGTCCTCCCCATCCTAGTAGCTATTAGTACCCTCTGGTAAACTAACATAACTATGGAAAATCACCATTTTTAATGGGAAAACTCACTATAAATTGCCATTTTCAATAGCTATGTTAGTTTACCAGAGGGTAACTGGAATGATCATTGGATTCTTCAACAAATCGCCTTCCCAACCTTTTCCACCTGGATCCACCTGGGCTCCCACACATAACGCAGCGACATCTCGTCCCTTACGATCACCGCACAGGCACGCACCACATACTCACGGATGAGACCTGTGGGGCTGTGGCGCTGGCGTTGGTCCCCACAATGGTCACCGGAGAAATCCGTGGTGATCCACTGCACTTTCAGTAGGGAACCAATTTTTGAATCTGAACCAAACCTCTGAAAAAGCAATGCCAGAGGCCCCAGCCCAAGACGAAGAGTCTGACATAGCCCCAGTAGGCATGTGCCTTGCACTACGCCACTACGCCAAACGTCTGGGCCCGAAAGTTGATCGTTCCACATCGTTAGACGCATTTGGATGCCGACAATGAATGAACATGGCGAAATCAAAGATCTGTGGTTAGTATGATGAGTGGAGAAGACTTCCCAAAGTTTCAAGGACGATGTGTTCCCTCCTAGGTTGGATTCTCTCGCATTCCTCCTGACGGCTGGTTGCAGTTTCAACAAGCCATCCCTGTTTCCAGCAGATCAGCTGCCTCTTGCAAAAAGGTCATCTGGATCTTCTCATGAGCAGAACTGGCGCACAGCCGACTCCCAGTACTCCTTTACCATCAATCGCTTCTGTCTGAACATTTGGCTTTTGGTGGCTGTTCCATCATGGTGTTCCCTTCAGTCCAAGGTTTTCCATAGTTTCCCAACGGTTGTCCATAGTTGTCCCAATGGTTTTCCATGGTTCTTCCCTTGTTCATGGCTTTTCCCCATGGAAAAAGAATCGCCTGGACTTCTCCTGGTCCTTGGGCACCTTCGAGCCCTGACCATGCATTGCAACTGGTCTGGTCGATCATGGTGGAGGTTCATCCCATATGTATAGAACAACTCATCAAACATCCCATATGGATAGAACAACATATAATCTAATATGGTATAATATGGTGTATACATGTATGTATATATATAGGGGGGTACAACATATAATCTAATATGGTATAATATGGTGTATACATGTATGTATATATATAGGGGGTACAACATATAATCTAATATGGTATAATATGGTGTATACATGTATGTATATATATTTATATAGGGGGTACAACATATACTCTAATATGGTATAATATGGTGTATACATGTATGTATATATATAGGGGGGTACAACATATAATCTAATATGGTATAATATGGTGTATACATGTATGTATATATATAGGGGGGTACAACATATAATCTAATATGGTATAATATGGTGTATACATGTATGTATATATATATAGGGGGTACAACATATACTCTAATATGGTATAATATGGTGTATACATGTATGTATATATATATATAGGGGGGTACAACATATAATCTAATATGGTATAATATGGTGTATACATGTATGTGTATATATATAGGGGGGTACAACATATAATCTAATATGGTATAATATGTTGATATATTGTATAATATGTTGATGTGTATATATATATATACATATATATATATATGGGGGTGTCCTTAAATTGGGGATCCCAGAAGCGGATGGTTTATTTCATGGAAAAGCCAACATAAAAATGGATGCAATTTGGGGGTGCATTTTAGGAAATCTCCATATGTTGATATAACCGCTGATAACTAATAATGATATGAACACTGGAGATGTAATATGTAATATAACATGTATAATATAACAATGTGTAATATTGTATGTTATATTACATATCCATTGATTGAACATGGATATAACTATGGATAATATGATTGATGTAATGTGTTAATATCCATTGTTGATGTACGACGTTGCAGGCACGTAGTGTACATGTACATACCATGCGTCGTCACTTGTGCCAATATGTTCTGTACTCACCAATATTGTGATACACTGAAGCGTTTGCTTGTACTAGTTTTGACTGATTGCTAGTGGTGCCCCCTATCTTCACACAAATCTTGGCCAAAAACACAGACTTATGGGATATTGATATTACAAAGAAACTTTCGATTTGCCACCCTTCTGCTTATGGTTTACCACCCTTCTGCTTATGGAGGGAAATTCTTCAATCACAAAGAAACTCTCCCTACAGGTGGGATAGTTCAGCGACATAGACATTATCAATATTCATCAATGAGATACTTGGGGGTGCAGTTCAACCAATAAGTGGATTTAGAACCATAGTTGTAGGGCTTATATCCCAACTTATGAAGGTTATTTCCCTGGTTATACCCACTAATAACTGAACCCCCAAGTATGGATGTGACATGAGTTGTCAAACTTGGCTCACAAGTCTGTCTTGCACAGCTGCACCAACACCTTCCGTCCACCGAACTTCAGGAATGCAGCAGCAGCATGAGCGAATAATCCTGGCACAGCTGCCAGTTGCTTGTCATACTCTGCTATGAAAGGCTAAGTTGTTGACTCACAGGAAATCTCCCCATGATGTCTTATGATGTCATATCATCTCATAATATCATCTCACATGTGCCATGGTCGGAAAAATGCTCTTGGATTATATATATGTATACATGTACATATACATGTATTACCATGTATTACCATGTATTACCATGTATTACCATGTATTACCATATATACATCCATATGCATGGGTTCTACAAAATCCCCATCGCCAATTCCAGGTTGACGGAGCCTAGGATTGTGGCGCCCAAGCTGCCCAAGGCTTCCAGCATTCCATGAAGGCCCAGGGAAGAGGCCTGGGCTCCGTTGCAATTGAAGCTGCTACTGACCTAAAAATCCAATAGGAGTGGGATGGTTTAGCTATACTTACTTGAAATAAACCAATAGTATGTAGTATGTACATACTATGTATAATACATATGTATATATATATATACATCGAAATATGTGGTTAGGGCGTTTCATATTGATCCATCCCCATCGCAGGACTCACAGCTGACCATGGGCCCGGCATGGTCTCGCGGATCCCAACCGGTCAGCCTTAGGGGTTCCCCCATGGGTCACGACTGGAGGATTTGGTACCCCCATGACGACTGGAAACCTCCACATCTGAGAAGTATCTGATAAGTATCTGATGAGTACCCTCTGGTAATTTAACATAGCTATTGAAAATGGCATTTTCTAATGGGAAAATCAACTATAAATTATAATATGTTCAATAGCTATGTTAAATTACCAGAGGGTATGCTGTTTGATGCATCCCCATAAGTTGAGATAAGTTGAGAATTCTATGACGACTTGTTGGGAATTCTTGGGATCGAGTTGAGTAGCGACCGAACGGCTCCCATCATCCAGTTCCCAAATGTTCAGGGACCTGCATATGATTATGACGTAAAATTATGACTTATTATGACGTATTATGACATCTGTGCATCCAAACATATCCAGACTACAACTGATCTCCCTCAAAGACTTGTGTGCCCGGGCAAGGTCCATAGCGCCCCCTCGAAGGTGAAGAGCCGCCACAAAGGCTCCAAAGGTCCAAGGCCTCGAGGTGCATCAAAGTCGTCCCATTCCTAGACCTCGAATACTTGGAAAGAGGTTTGAGGTTTGAAGGTTGCTGGTTTCAAACCAACTATATATATAATATATATATACCATTGTATACCTCCATAATATTCCATCATGAGTTCGTACTTGATCCGTATCAAGCTGCATCTCACCGCCAAACGAACTTTGGATACCTCTTCATATATATATATCCTCTGGTAAACTAACATGGCTATTGAAAATGGCCATTTATAGTGGATTTTCCCATTGAAAATGGTGATTTTCAATAGCTATGTTAAATTACCAGAGGGTGTATATATATATATATATCCATATCCTACGGAAGTGTCAAGCACTTGACATATCACCCAGTCACAACTGGAGGCCGAAGAAAACCGCATTTGACCAGGCCGCCCAGCCCGTGCCATCCGAAAAGAGATCTGAGAAGAGAAGATCCGCCGAGTCGGCACCTGGTAAAACAGGGGAACTGGGACAAGACAGGTTGGAGGTCAGGTGGGAGGCTGTTATGTTTTTGTGAAAAATGTTGTACCATCTGGTTATTTAACATAGCCATGGAAAATCACCATTTTTAATAGGTAAACCATCTATAAATGGGCCATTTTCCATGGCTATGTTAAATAACCAGAGGGTAAATCTAAATGTTTGACTGTTTCTTTCTGTTAATCTTGCTAAATGTGGCTAGTCGGAGTTGTTTGATTAATGTTTGGTTTGGATGAGGGTAGGGTATGTTGAGGTTGTTGTGGTTTTACTGTATGAGATAGTGTCCATTAATGTTCATTTGATGCTTGATGCTTTCTTCGTGCCGTTTCATTGTATATTTTCTTACTTCACATTTACAAATTGGACATTCCAACGTTTCTTTCTTTTTATCACTTAATTCTTCCTCTCTCCTTTCGTAGTATTGTTGAGCATATTGTTTTAAAGTTTCTTTGTGCTGTTCCCTGTATCTGCGTTTGTTTTCTAACATTTATTACACTGCTTACATTCATTTTTGTAGTAGTCTAACGGTTGAAAGACTTTACATTTAGAACACTGCTTTTTGTCAGTCATTATACCTCTACAATTTTAAGGGGTTATGTCTTTAAGGGGTTTTTAGGGTGGATTACATCATAATATATTTTATTAAGATATTATGAACTAATCGTTAGGTTTAGTGTCTCCACTTTTCATCACCACTACCTATTCCATCCTAACATTGAGAAACAATCGTTTTGATGTTGTAGAACACCAAAATGATTGTGTCTCTATCAAGTCCTCGTTGGTCAATCAAGTATCCCAACACTGACAATAGTGTATAATAGTTTTGTTGAAATGCTGTCATTCCTCCTCTATGGTGTATCCTCTCACCGTGTTTTTTGATTAAATCTTTATCAAATATGTTTTCATAAATTTCTTTCATAAGGTCGTGGTTTATCTCTCCATACTCTGCGTATTGCTCTAAAGATTGTTTTTGCTTAAGTAGTAGGTCATATTCTATAAAGTTATAGTCAGGATAAGGATTTTCTTTTATGAAATTCATTAATCTTTCTCTATCTCTTTTTAGTTCCTCTTCACTAACTCCAATCATTGGCATTTTTCACTTACTATATATAGGTATTTTTTCTTTAAGTATCTATCACTTTTTGTAGGTGTTCTTTTATTTCATCTTGATTAATGTAATGCTCATAGTGTTTGAATAATTCTTTAGTATATTCACGCAAGAAAAGCTTGAATAGGTCTTTTAATCTCAAATCTATATTTCTAAATTCATAATAACGGTTTAAGCTAGGAAACATCCAAGAATTCTTTATTGTTTTTATATTGTGAAGGTCTTCAAGCATTTGATATGTATGTCCCAAGTTTTTCTTTACATAAGATTTAGTCGCTTGAAGGAATATGCCTTTCTTCAGTGTAGGATTTTTGATCAATATGTCTATTTCTCTTCTAATTTGTCGGTCATTCACATTATCAGACAAATCTATTGGCGATGCTTCCATCCTTGTTTTAAAGACCTATATTTGTTTTTCTGCTACTGAATTGATTTCTTTATCTTCAAAGTAGTCTTGATTGTATGTTATATATCTATACTCCTTTTCTCTCAAGTCTTTACATTTTGAACAGTGAAGATTATAAAAAACATATCTCATCACAAATTCCAGCCGGAAAAATGTTGTTCAATAAAACCTTAATGTCAGTCATTTCTTTCTTACAACATCCGCAGTTTTTATAAGTAAATAGCATCCTCTTACTATATATAGTCATTTTTTCTTTAAGTAGTTTTTGGGGGCTCGTTCAGTTTTCGGGTTCGGGTTGGTTTTTGTTTTCCCTTTCCTCCTCTTCCAGTTCCTTTATAACCATATCAATTTCACTCATTCCTTCATTGGGGTCTTGTCCATTGGCGAGGTTTCTTAACCTCAAAATCCTTCACTTTGTGTCTTTCATTGGGTGGGAAGGTTTTGAGATGTTCCTTCAACTCTTTGAGGTCAAAGTATGTGTCGTGTTCTTCATCCTCATTTTCCATAAACATTTCCATTCGTTGTTTTTCCATTTCCATAAGTTTGTTTTCCATATATTGGAATTTTATTTGCTTCCTGTAGCACTTGCCACACACATTCACAAAGGTTTTGAGCAAGTAGTTCCAATTAGGTTGGTTTCTTCCGTTCAGGGTTATAACATCTGTCATAATACGACATCCACAGTCAAATTTAGTCATCTTATTTAGTCTTACTATATATAGGTATTCTTTCTTTAAGTATCTTTTTTACTGTTGATATCTTTAAAAATCTAATATTATAATATATGGCAAGGAGACTATCAAGAGATGACATCATAAGCAATGTCTATTACAATCTGGAAACGGGCTTCGGTTCAATCAATGAGACCCTCAAGAAAGCAAAGGAACAAGACCAGACCATCAACAGGGTGGATGTGGAAAACTTTATGAGGAAACAGCCCAACAAACAGATTAGAAAATACAGGGGTTCAAACTCCTACACCGCACCCTTCGCAAGGTTTGAGTATCAGATTGACATAATGGATATGAAACCCCTTACCAAAGAACCAGAGACGAAAATTCCCATCAAGAACGACGAACCGAGATATGGGTTGGTGGTCATTGACATCTTCAGCAAGTTGGCAAACGTCGTCCCTATGAAAGAAAAATCCGGACCAATTACATTATCGGCGATGAAAGAGAGTTTCAACAAAATGGGTTTTCCAATGTCCGTTTATAGTGATAATGACCGTGCCTTCCAAGCAGGGGTAAAAGACTTTCTTGAGAAAGAAGGCATCACTCACGTCGTCACCCTAACACACGCTAATGTTGTGGAGCGTTTCATAAGGACAATGAAAAATATGATACACGATAGAGTTAGGTTGAATCGCGGTAGTTGGACTGTGATGTTGTCCAAAGCGTTAGATAAATACAACGACACCGTCCATTCATCAACCAAAATGAAACCCAAGGATGCCCACGACGACAAGAACCATATGGACGTCAGGGTGAATTTGACAAGGAGGGAAAAGAACACTCGCAAATATCCAGAGGTCAAAGTGAATGATATGGTCAAGGTCTTTGAGAAGAAAAAAGACAACTACACCGAGAGGAAGGAGTATAACTCAAAGTGGGGCAATCAATCCTACAAAATCGTCAAGATAGAATACGACGACGTCGGAAACAGAACCTTCAAACTGGAAGGATTGAACAAACCGTATTTGAGGCACGAGATTTTGAAAGTATAAAAAATTATCTATAATATTAATAATAATATATGACAGAGGTAGTCGTAAAAGAGATTTATAATCAAGAACCAAAGGAAGAAACAATACCAGAACCAATACAGGAAGAAGCACCGAAGGAAGAGGAGAAACCAGAAGAAATAATTGAAACACCAGTTCAAGAGAAACCGCAACCAGCAACGGTAGTCCCAAAACCCAAAAGGGTAAGACCGTCAAGGGCGAAACCACCTTTTGACCCAGAAGCATTCAAAAGCGACCTTGTAAAACAAATAAAGGAAGAACTACAAAGTGCGATGTCCGCCAGAGACACCTACAACAAAGCCAAAGCGGAAAAGAACAAAGCGACGAGAGAGAAATTGAAATCTTTAGCATCAAAAATTTTATAAAGTATTATATATATAAATGAACATCAAGGAACAGAAAACAGAACTCAACAAAACAGACATCTACGAAAACGTCCGCAAGGACATCAACAGAAGACAAACCGTCCATTCAAACAAAAGTGCCAACTACAGGAGCGGAAGGCCCGAAATGCCAGACAGAAGAAAAAAAGTGTATAGTAGTTATGACCACTACTACCACAACGACAGCAACACGGCGAGGATGCCAACTCACAACCATCATCTTTACCTAAAGCGTCTTCTTGGATATCACAACACCGAGCACGATTACAAGGTCTTACAAGTAAAGCAGAGGATGAAGGAAGAGAATGAGATGCTACAGAACGAAATGACAAGGTTGAGGGAGGTGAGGAAAAATCACAGATTGGAAGATTACGGGGCGAACGTCCAGAATATGAAACAGAGAATTGATGAGTATAAACAGTGGTTGAGAGGCGATACACAAGATTAATATAAAAATCTAAAGTATTAATATATAGCAATGACAGCAGAAGTAATCAACACAAAACAGGGATTGACACGAATACCCACTTACGCAGAACTCATCAAGGAAATAGACAGGGAAAAGTTCAAAACCAATGACATCAGAAAAATCTTTGATAGGAACGCTTGGTATTTTCACGAAAGTCCGCAGGGTCAAGCACTGAACACAAACAACATCCACCCAGCAGACTTACAGCAAATGAACTTCAAAAAGATGGCAGAGGAAGCGACCGCAAGGAAGGAAGAAGAAACACCCAACCTTGACTTTGAAGATATGACCGACTTGAGGGACGACGCCATCAGCGACTTTGAGATGTCCTTTGACAGAGAGGCAGAGTTGAGGGAAGAGAACGAAAGGAGAGTAGCAGAACAGGCAAACTTAAGTCATTCACAAGACCACTATATGGCAAACAAAGGGGCATACGACGCCGTCGGAGCAACAGCATCGGCAGGGATACAAGAGGACGAAGAACCGCCTTCAAGCAGTAGAAGCATCTTAAAGAAATTCCTTAAATCATCCAAACCAGTCATCAAAGCAGTCGCCACAGCAGGAGGAACAGCAAAGGGAGGGTCAATAGGAGGACTAATAGCATCAAAACTGACAGACGCCATCATACCCGACGAAGACGAGGAAGAGAAACCGTCCAAGATAAAACCAACACAAAAACTAATCAACAAACAAGTCAATTAGGTAAATCACCAAAAGAAGTTAAAGGAGGAAAAATCAAAGATGAACGTGGATGTAGTGCCCGATGTCAATGAACCAATGGACGCTTCGGCAGAAGCCTCGCGAGGCTTTCGCGACACAACCGCAATACCAACAGCAGAAAAGAGGAAGCCCTTAAGCGTGAGACAGTCCAAAGCAAAGAGGCAGAAACCAAAACCGCCAACGCAGGAGAAGAGAGAATTTCAGGAAGACCCATCCACAACCACCAAACCACCCAAAGCAAGAAGAGTAAGAGGAAAGCAACCCCAACCACAAGCATTAGGAGCAACAATCAACATCCCCAAAGACAACAAGACACCCAATGTAGATGAAGCAGAGACAGCACAGGAAGAAACAGGGGCGTCATCTTCATCAAAAGCACCAGTCAGGAAACCGACAATGAACAAAGCAATATCGCCAAGCAAGGTAGGAATACAAGTGATAAGAGAGACGTTTGAAGAGATGAACAACAGCAAAAGCATAGACACAGGAGACTATCAAAGGTTTCAAGAGGTCTATGGTAAATGGAAATCAAGCAAAGGAGAGGAAAAGAAACAACATATATATTTTGTCAGGCATCAGTCCAGTATCAGTCCCGTTGTCTGTTGTATATAGGTCTGTTCCATACAATGGCTTAACACGGACAACCATATTTGAATTGTTCTTCAAATTCAGTCCAGTGTAATTGGCACTGTTGAGTTTCTTGAGGTTGAACCCCGCTAAAAAGGAATTCGTCCTATACATATGAGGTTTGATTGAAACGTGATTGTTTCGTGTTTCTTGTAGATGCTTATAGTTGTCAGCAACCCCCATCGTTGGCATTTCGGGTATGACGGTATTACCAATACTCAACTGAAAGGACAAATCAATGTTTTTATAGTATCTTTGAGCAATTGATGTTCCGCTTTCCCACGAAAGGGGATGATAAAGAAGATTATGAGGTTTCAGCACTTCTTGGGAACCACCCTTATAACCAAAATTTGAATAGAAAAATATGAAGATGTTGTCTGCTTTACTGACATTTCTAACTATTGTCGTGAAGATGTCGGTGTTTCTACTTGTTGTTTGGGTGAAGGGGTTGATAATTTCTTTTGATAATACTTTGAAAAATAATTGGGGTCTAATGGTTTCTTGTCGTAAGTTCCGTCGGGTTTCCATCTTGTGGATGTTGTGGTTGCTGGATTGGTGTAGTGCTTCCGCCATTTGGTCAAAAGGGTCTTCGTCCATTTCTTGCTTCATACCGTTAATATACATATAGCAGGGCATATTCAATTCTTGATTCTATAAGGCGTCATTTATTTAAGTGTTTTTGGGTTTGTTGCTCTAAAAATTGTGTTTTTAACAAGTGTCCCAAATTGATGTTTTTTGAACGCTAAAACGATGGTTTTAGGACACTTGTTGAAGTAAGGATTTTTTGTCTTCAAGAGTTCAGGGTGAAACGATTTGTCCGTGTTTGATGGTTTGGCTATAAAAGTTGAGGGTGAAACGATTTGTCCGTGTTTCATGCTTTTGTCAAAAGTTGAGGGTGAAACGATTTGTCCGTGTTTGATGGTTTGGCTAAAAAAGTTCAGGGTGAAACGATTTGTCTGTTGTTGCTTGTTCGGTGAATGATTGATACTCGGTTCTGGGTATCGTTGATACTTGGATACTGGTATCACGGTATCATTGATACTCGGTTCCGGGTATCGTTGATACTTGGATACTGGTATCTGGGTATCATTGATACTAGGCTCTGGGTATCGTTGATAATTAGATGCTGGTATCTGGGTATCATTGATACTAGGGTTGGGTATCTGCGGTTATGCGTGCAATACGTGAAAATTACTCTTGGATGACTCACCCACAAAACATCTCAAGCGCCACATTTTTTTTCACCGGCGAAGCTCGCATGTATCCTTCATCCCTCAACTTCTGCTCATCCTCTTCAAAGAGCTTGGCGACGAAATGCCAATGCTTCAAAGCCACCCTTAAATTGGTTGTACTCCTCAGGACGCAGTCTGCTGGCTCCTCACGAAGAAGCTTCAACGCCATTTTGGTGTCTTCGTCGCTCTCTGGGAGATACCCCATGGGTCCTGCCCCTGCCACCTTGAGGAGATAGTCCTTCACTTCCTGGTCATCCAATTTCCTTTGAATTGATTCCACCCTCCGCTTGTACCACTGCTCAACCTGCTCGATGACCGCATCCGCACCTTTCTGACCTTCTCTGGAGACGTTTTCCAGTATCAAGTCCAAGTCGCGGAAGTTGCCCCCGGCGCGGATGTAGTAGTGCTTCAACGCCTCGTCCATGTCATCTTCGGCAAGAACCTTGTTCAGCGTCCGGAAGTCGCTTCCCTGCTTCGCCACCTCCTTGACCACAGACGTGAAGTCTTCGAAAGGTAGTGGTCGCACCACCACCAGCCTTGACATGTTAAACCTTTCGGTGATGATGTCGGCCACGACAGACACGGTGACCTCCAAAATGAACTTGCACGCGGCATTGTCGTAGGTGATGTTGCGAGCGAAGGCACCGAGGGTGGAAGCAATGTCATCACAGCCATCCCTACTAAATTTGTCTCCGCGGCTTTTGGTTGTGAGTTGCAGGTATACCACGACGGCACTGCCTGTTCGGTGCTTGGACGTCTCATTCACCCGTTCCAGCAAAAATTTGACATTTGACGGGTAATATCGGGGCAAATCTACGGCTTGTAACGCTTGGGGTAGCGCCTCGTTCAGCTTCAAGTCCTCGCCAAGACGAACAGAAATATCAAGAGGAAGCACCCTTTTGCCATTCTTCAAATGCTCACACATGAGATTGTTCAGCATGGTTGATTTCCCAATACCTTGGGAACCACTGACCACCAAGAAGGAAGGGGTGCTCAAAGCTTTACGTTGAGGTGAATTGATGAAGTCCTTGATGTATTCCTCCTCGACCGGCCGTGCAGGGGCGGGCTCTCTCCTTTCCAGCCTTTGCCCAGCCTTCCTCACTGCCCTGTTCATGAAGAAGCCAGGAAGGAACCTTTGAATGAGAGCTTGGAGAACCAGCACTACGACGCTCCCTGTGCTCAACAACGTCCAACCAGTTTTAACGGTCTGCGCCGGAAAAGCCCTTGCGGGCTGTGTTCGTAGATGACCGCTTGGAAGGACGAACCGGCCTGGCACAAGCTCAACCTGCCTCACAAAGATGCATCTGCGGAATGTCGAAGGAAAGGGACAATACATCGGTTCAGTCAATTTGTGCCAAACTGGCTTTGGTATTGAAGGATGCTTGATATGCAAAACCAACAGGAACCACAGCGCCTAACCTCAATCAATACATGAATTTGAAGCAAATCATTCGACATCTTTGAACAACAGCTTGGTAGAGTTTGAACCTGAACCTACACATAGAAACTCTGACCACCTCAACAATTATCCCCTTCATTCAATCTAAACATTATCACAACAACCTCAACAACACATTTAGCAAGATAATCAAAAAGAAACAGTCAAACATTTCAAACTATAACGTGAAGAAAAAACAAAGCAACATCCCACCTGACCTTTAACCTGTCTAGTCCTAGCATCCCTGTTTTACCATTTTTTCTGGGATTTTCCCCGCGGATTTTCACGGGAAATCGGCACTGATTTGCCCAGCCTCGGAAGCTACCCTTTAGTCGTGGAAAACATGGCACGTCTTTTGAGATGAATTGGAAATGGTGGGGAATTGATTGATATTATATGAGGGATTTCCAATTGTCAGCTTAAATTACCAGAGGGCAAAGCAGCACCCTTTATGTTGCGCAGCTGATGAAAGACCAATTCAGGGAAGTGAGTGCATCCACAAGTTATGGCAAGCTGTGGGTGAATCTGAACCCACTCTTGGGTGTTGCTTCATATTCTTTCCTCAAATGTCAGCCAAGAGAATGTCTATGGTCCTAAACAACAGCTGTGAGACACTCTCCTGACTTTTTGACGATGCACTTAGAAAAAGCACAAAGAAAGAACACCAGGCAGATTTCTTACACGCTGGCACCTTCATACGTGCCTTAATGCTGCATCGCTGGAGGATTTTCATTCAATGTGATGGTATATACATTATATGTATACTGGCAGTATGCAATCTCGTACATCACAGTCCTAAGTCCTAAGGTTTGAGCACACAGCATGACTGATATGACTGACCCAGCACGGCCGGATAAACTCGCCGAACGCCCTTTGTAAACGGGGAGACCAACCACGATAATCTGCGGGGTTAATCTACTCTGATTGGTTCTATATGTTCTATCTGGTTCATGTGAACGTGTTTGAATCTTTCGGGGCAGTGAAAGTCTGGGTGCAGCCTGCAGAGCAAAATGAGGAAGCACCCTTTCGAGGGCAAACTGGGCCACCACACACTCGTGCAAGTGCGATGTTGGAGCATTGCTGTATCCACCTTTCGGGTCCCCTTCCAGATGCGCCTGACGGGCAGCTGGGCGCTCTGAGAGCGGCCTTTCAGCTTCAACATCCAGCCGGCCCACCCAACAATATTCCCATGCTCCAAACCATCAGCTGTCTCGAACTGTTGCTTCTTAGATCAATGTGGTGGACAGATTCGAGTACTTGAATCATTCTGCCATATCATCGAAAGTCTCCGATCTGCAGCCAATTTCATAGCTTGAATCTCCACTTCCCTTGAAGCTGGCGGGATAGTCCAAATAGGACCACAACACCCGCGCCCGACCCGGCGCACCAACAGAAAGCCGAGCACAGCAATCAGAAAACAGCAAGCCTTTGTGGGCCATGGCAAGAATGTGTGTGTGTGTGTCTTCGGGTCCAACAAAAAAGTGTTTTCTGTAAGTCTGTGTGAGTTTTGCGGCATTTCAGTTTCGGCCACCAGTTCCGACTGGGATAGTCTAGGTCTAGGCACGGGTGGTCATGCGCAATGTATGAAAAACATATGTTTGCATGCGCCGACCAGCATTTCATTGGTTGTCGCGGTTATCCCTATTTCTACGCTGGCCCATAAGACTTGAGCTCTCCACCAGAAAAAGCCCACTGGCAGGGCTTTGCTCCACCGCCTCCAAGCACAGAGAGATCCAAATGATTCAACTTATGTTTCCAAATCCACACATGCTGCTTTTTGCAGGGAAACATAAGTTGAATATCACCCAATATTGGGAAACCCATTATATTGGAAACCCATAATGTGATAAACCCAATGATAAACCCCCTCAATATTACCATCAATGGGTGGCAAAATTCATCCTACCGAATGGATCCAAATGGTTCCGCCTGATCCATCGCCAGCATGGCGCGAAAATCGAACTCACCGAGAGGTTTAAGCGCGGGACGTCCCTGTCCAACGGTTGGATGAAGCTTGATTTAGGGTTACTATGGGTTACTTTGGTCAATTTAGAGATCTCCAAATCTGACCACTCTCTTCGATTCCTGCAACTTCGACGAAAACCCTCTATGGGAACCCACATGAAGAGGTTGGTTTTAAATGGTTTTGAGTGGATCCACTTTTTCACAGGATTCTACGGCAGGACCAGCTGTTCGGATGCTGTTCTCAGCGATGAAACTTACACAAAAAGAAGGTTTCAAAGAAAAACCCTCCAAATCAATACCAAATAAATCAATAATTACTGTGGTATGCCCCATCTTACCATTTGGGGAGTGTCACAAAGCATGCCCTGTGTTGCGTTTCATGTTTGGGTTTACCACTGCATGCCCCCATCCCAAACACCATGAATATGTCGCATCCTGTCCTCACGGGAATTCACAACCGACGGCCCCCAAACAGCACCACCAGCTTGAGCCAGATCACAAGAACATTCAAGCTGGAGCTGTGGCTTTCCAAAACCAAATGTTAGGTAAACCAAATATTAAACCATCTTGTTCGGTGTATATATATATATATATACATATATATATATTATATATATTATATATATATATTATATATATATTATATTATATATATATATATATTATATATATATATATGCCAGCGGTTGGGTATGCCACGCACATCTTGTGACTTAGCTTCAACCAAAGAGATGGAGTGGGTAGCAGTCAGAGGTCAGAAGTCGTTCACATGAGCTGCATTCAATCGTCCAGTGCTGAAGGCCAGCAAGTGGTTCTTCCCGCCTGACATTGAGTACCTGACTGGGCAATTTGCAAGACATGGCAGGGGCGGCAGAATCGCGAAGATCATGTCCACATTCACCACCACATCTTCATCCTTTGATGTCCAGCCACATGGAAAGGTGCCACCTGTCTCTGCTGTCCGCCTGTCCTCCAGGTGAAGGTCCCCATCTGCAGCATTCCATCGATCAAAATACCTCACGGTGGATCCAAAAGAGCTGGTCGTGGAACTTGACCAAGTCCATCCGGAGGAGTGCCCCATTTCAGGTCTATCCATCTTGAGATACAAACATACTTCAGGTGGTGTATACCCATGGTATGGTACTTCAAAACTCCCACATCTGTTCCCTTCCCAATCCCTTTGGCTGCCGGACTCTTCTTGCTCAAAATCAAAATCCTCCTCTTCCACCTGTACCTTTGAGGGCACCACAAAGGGCCCCAGCTGGGTCTGGATTAGCTCCTGGCAAGGTGGGGGTCATGAAGAAACTGCAAGGTTTGGCCAGCTAGAAATGTATGATGTGTATATATGTATCATACATCATACATCATATCTCATATATATATATATAGTTAATGAGATATAATAATAATCATCATCATAATAATAATAAATAATAATAATAATAGTAATAGTAATAATAATACTAAATAAATATATTCTACAATATACATATATAGTCATGTGTATAATTGTATATATATATAGCATCGTATAATTATCGTGTATATATATATTATTATATATATATATATATCCATTACACATGATATCGCATCATATACAGTGTATATATATATTTATTATGTATACATTAGATTGCAGTAGATCATATACAACATCCAAAAGATTGTTGCGTGGTTCCAAGCAAAATGCAAAGCAGGCGTATTCTTGGTCGACTTCTCCCTCCGCAGTGTTATGTACTTGGTTGACTGTCATTGGAAATTTAGTAAAATATTGGTGGACAATTTCAGGACATGCCCTCATTTTGCCCGGTCCAAATTCCCAAAAGTTGGATGGTTTATTTCCAATAATGGACAATCAAACGGCAAATGCATCTCAGGATTCCCTCGGTCTTGAACTCTGCTCAAAAATAGCGCAGGTCCAACAATAGATGTGTTCCCTTCAACTCTGGGATGCTCGCTGTCCTTCACAATGTTCCTTTCAAGGTCAAGCACCTGCCACCCGTGGGGTACCAAGGGTGAAGATGGAGGGTACAGTTTGAGGTCCCAGAAGGGCAGCAAAGTTGAAGTGGGTTTAAGTTGATTGGGGTCACACTTGAATAAAAACTGATTCAAACTGGATTGGGGCATTTTTTGTCAACAATCAACCACCCAAAACCACAGAATGCCCTTCAGACAGGGACTACCTTAATTGCAGAAACAAACGCCTTCACTGACCAGCAAGGATCCGCCAAGCTCTGCCAAAGGCTTTCGAAAATGGGAGCCCTGGCAGCCAGCACCATGGCACCACATCTGCCCGCACAGAATTCCAGTCTGATTCCGGAGAATTGTTGACATACCGACATTCAATGTTTGTATGGGCGTTCCTAAAATGGGGGATTCCCAAAACCATGGGTTTGACTACTAAAATGGTCATCCATGACTGAGATTATTTGGGGTGGGAAAATTCCAGATACTGATACCTTAAATCCAACAATGCACACAACAGTGAAAGCCAGGTCTCCAAGCCACAGGACCAGGGGCAGCCGCACAGGCAAGAAGAGGTCCTGCCACTGGCTCCAGTTCGGGTTTAACGGCCTACCTCTGCGTGGATTTGACCAAAGCGAATTTCATGTTGAATGTCGATTCTATGCGCCTGACAAACAGGGCAGTTGCAGGGCCACATGCCTTTTACTTAGTATGGTGGGACACGAGGCTTTGCATATCCACGCGACTCGTTTCTCAACAAACAAGACGTTCAAGGACAATTTCGGGAAAGTGCACAAAATCTATGCTGGCTCACACGAAGTGTAGCTTCACATTTCTCTTGGCTTGTCTAAGAATAAATTGAATAAATAGTAGGGTCCAAAAAACGGCTTTTCCAGGTCCAAACTTTGGCCTGAAAGGCCACATCAAAGGCTTCAAGATGTCCTGGAGCCGGGATACAATCCAGGTGGGTTGGCAAATTGGATTAGCTGAAAATGGTTTACCCAGCTAAAATGGGGTGATTTAGTCCTGAGGATAACCAAATTTTCAAGCTTGTTGGCACTCCATTGTTGAGATATCAGGACACCACGTGACTGAAATTAATGCAACTCAAAGTCCAAATGCCAGTTTGATGTTCTGAAAGACTACAACATTGCAGCTCCTAAGTACATCTGACTCAAGCTGTCGTTGAAGGCAATGTTGACCTTGCGGGGCAGCTCATTGGAGGCTGCTGAAAAATGGAGTCCCACAAAGGGCTGATGGTTTTCAGTGTAGAAATTATTAAGCATTCTTTAAGAATACTAAACACTATTAGACACTATTCAACGTTACAAAATCAAACACTCTTGAACAGTGTTAAACATTATTGTCCATTGTTAAACAGTATTAACAAAACATAAAATTTACCATGATCAAACATAAAATCAGCACATAAATCAGCACATTAAATCAGCACATGAACAGCATTAAATCACCATCAAAAAATCAGCTGGGCGTCCACGCACCAAAGGACGTGGGCACGGGACTCCGAGGTCGTAGTCTTAGGAGCAGCTTGTTCCTGGCGGCGCGGCAACGGGTGGAAATTTTCACGATCCGCAAACGCGGTGCCCCTTCAGTCATAGCTGGTATAGCTGGATGGGAATATTCCCACCAATATGGTAATATATGGTAATATATGGTAATATATGTTTGAAATATGGTAATATATGGTAAGATATGGTCATGTATGGTAATAACTAATCGGTTTTGACCCGTCCCCATATATCTATGGTTGTAAATGATATGACATGTAATAATAATACAATGTTCTTTCATGTTGTATCATGTTGTATCATCTATAGAATCGTAGAGCTGAAGAATCTGGAGAGCCCTGCATTTCCATTGGTTTCCCTGGCCCCAATAAGACATGCCGATGCTGACAGACATGGAAAACCGTGGCCAGTGCCTTCATCCTCGTCCTGGTTGCAGCTGGGGTGCTCAGTGGCTTGACACATCCCCGGAAGACACATCACACCCGCCTGGTCAGGTCGGTCAATCTGCCCAGCTGCAATGAACCTCGAGCTGGTGGGCTTTTCACTTGAGATCCCCAACCATGGAAAAATGATGCTATAAGATGTTATAAGTTATATAATTTTAGGGGGGATCGATCTTAGTTTTTTGCATTCTTTATTGGTAGCACCAGACTTATATGTCGGCGTCACCATGGGTTGCAGGTCATGGATGCCATTATGAGAGTGGATGAGGATCCTCATTTTTCTGCTCAATCATCGTGAATCAGCTAATCAGCAATTCATCAAATACACCCAGAATTCTCTGAACCACAGAACCACACCAATCTCCTCAACTGAGGGGCGGGATGCGAATGGGCTCGATGGCTAAGTAGTGCTCGCTGGACGAGAACGTCCTGAGTTGAGCTGTCAATGGAAAACCCCAGTGGCCGATGTGCAAAGCCAACAGATGGATGTGGGTCAAAATAGAAGACCTAGGGGACCACAGATGTTAGTCTAGTGTAGTATTAACCATCCAATTATTGGGGTACCTAATTTTGACCCATACCCAGATGAATTTCCTGACACAACGAAGCCGCACGAAGGGCAAGCGACAATTCCAAGGAAAAGAGTTGCCGAGGACATTCCAGCAAACCATTCTCCTGAACCAGCGATTGACGATGATTGACGGACGTTCCCAATTCCAACCCTGAAAACAACCAGCTAAGCCAAGAAAATGAAATGTGAGGGTTTCCATAAATGGGGGTACCCCTAAATCATCCACTTTAATTGGATTTTCCCTTATAAACCATCCATTATGGGGTACCCCCATTTATGGAAACCCCCATGTTGTTCAGGAAGACTAGGTTCTTTTATACAAACCTTGGGCTGTTCAGTGCCACCATTTTTTCAAGATGTCTCAAGGCCCGATCACCTCTGAAGACATGTCTGCAGCTGGTTCGTAATGCCTGCGTGCTGCATGCGGTTGGATGACTTAGTGATCTATAGTGATCAAGGCTGCAGCCTCTGGGTATGATGGATATGCACTAAATTGCCAATGTTTCATCTAGAAAAATCTATATAGTCTAATGCCTGTCTCATCTCCTGTGATCTATACAGTAATCCAATATCCTCTATTCTGCTCTTTGTTTTGACAGAAACTATCTATTTTGTGCAATTTTTCTACACAAAGTGAATGTCCTTGGTACTTTCTCTGATTTTTTGGAACGCGATCCCTTCCCCCCAGAGCTGTCGCGTCCACTGGGCTCGCAAGCAAGATGAAGGGCAGCCGAATGCTGCTGGGAGACTCCTGGCCAACTGAGATGTCAACAGTCAGGTGTTGCTGATTGTCCAACAAGAGACAGGAAGGCAAGGTGGTGTATAATCGCGTAACAATGCATGAGTTCCTAGTGATCCTAGTGCGTGTTTGATCATTTTTCTGTTATGGGGAGAATGGGGAGCCTGACTTGTCTCCACATGTCTACTGACGTCTGGAATTTCCGTGGCATTCCGTGGCCAATCAACAGCAAGGCCACAGCTCTGGCCCAGGCACGGCACCTCGAGCAATTTCTTGTAGTCCTCCAAGAGTGCGCTGAGACCTCGAGGTCCGGCACCAGAAAAACATCGCTTCACAAACGACGAATTTTGGAAGGTACCAACGGTACCAACCATTTCTGGTGCATTGGGGGTGGTTTGTGATTGGGTTTACCACACCAATTAACACCTGTACTGAACCAGTGTCCGAAGGTTGGATCTTGGGGGTCTGAATTAAATGACGGTAACAAATCGGTATGACTTCAAGCACGCAATGTCAAAAACCTTTGGAACCGTGCCCGGAATATCTCAAAATAATTCAAAATAGTGGTTGGCGAAATGGGGATTGCAAAAGCGAATTATATAATCGTAATTAGTCCAGTATATATATATATATAATTATATATATCCAAATAGTTTGGGTAGGATAACCCCTTAAAGTTATGAAGCTGCTTGTATTTGCGAAACTGCTCAACCCCCAAACGCAATTATGGATATGTTTTCCCCACTGGCCAAGCGATTTGCTCGGTAGCTTGAAGCCAAGCTAATTCTCCGGCAAAACCATCCGAAGACTGTGGAGGTTGCCATCCAGCTTATGGGATTTATGGGCCATTTTCAGATGAGTATCCAAAGCCAGGTCAGCCCCTCTTACCCAAAAAAAACTCAGAACTTCATGCCCTGACAAACTCGAACATGTCAGGCTAAGTACATCATCGTCATCATGGTGAAAAATAAAATCTAATTGCAAAACGCGCACAGTTGCATTGACTGGTATGGATCTATCACAAATATATCAGCAGTTGTTGCGGAGACTCGGAATATACTGTCCTGTAGTACTCCGTCCACAAGTGGAAGCATTGCCATCGCTTCGGAGAAGCACTGTCTGGCCTTGGCCTGAGACCTGGATGTAAGAGATTCCAGCATCCAAAATGGGTATGCAACGCACTGTCCATCATTCAGACCACAAGCCACACCAATGCCATCATTCCGGAGAAGCACTGTATATTCCCAACCTGCAGAAACCTGGGTATAAGTCTGTCCCTCGTCCAAAGGCGGGATATTGCATTGGCGACGCGGATTGCTTCGGCGACAGCAATCCCATCACTTCGGAGAAGGACGCTATGATTCCAGCCTCCAGATACCTAGATGTATGATGTTGACCTTTCATCAACCAAAGGCGGGATGTTGCATAGTCCATTGCTACTCAATCCGCAAGCTACGGCATGGCCATCACTACGAAGAAGCACTGTGTGATGCCCACCCGCTGCAATTTGTGTGTAGGTCATGCCGTGTTCCAAAGGCGGAATGTTGCACTGCTCGACAGATTGTGTCCACAAGCCACCGCAACACCATCACTTCGAAGAACAACTGTATGGTTGTGGCCCGCAGAAACTTGGGTGTAGAACTGTCCAGCATCCAATGGTGGAATTTCGCATTGTCCTTGTTGTACCCAGAGGCAAGAGCCTGACCATCGCTTCGGAGCAGCACCGTGTGCAGGTGGTTCCCCGCAATACACAGCACGGCCATCGCTTCGGAGAAGCACAGTCCGATTTGGGCCTGCAGCAACCATTGCAAGATGAAATCCGATGTTGGGACAAGAAGCACTTGGTCTTGGGCCAAAAGTGTCCAGCAAAGATTGCGACAAGAGCTGTTTTTTCAAACCACCAAAAAAAGGATTGCCTGGTGAGTTGTAAGCTTTTCACTCGGCGCCGGAGAGTTCCCCCCCTGGGGCTCTGGGCCGGTCTCCGTCTTCACAGGATCTCCAATCTGCAGAGATTCGGTCTTTCAAATCTCTCATGTAATGTCAGGGTCAATGTTTATCACCTGCATACAGAAAGCCTTGCTTCAGCTGCTACAGCTGCTACAGGCACTCGTGGTGGGTTTTCTCCAAGTCTGCTATGCTTTGCAACTTTGCAGCGGCAAATTTAGCCCACAACACCCATCAATTTCTGCCACCCATTCTCCAAAAGTACAAACATTCCCCCACCTATCTGCATCCGTGAAAATTCTGCGAGCGTTTCCATGCTATCTTAGGCCTATCCAGGACTAAAAATCCTGCCTCATCCAGCCACTGCTTGGGAAACTGGTGGTCAATGCCAGGATCTCCCCACCTACATAAACCAAGCTGGCTATGGGTCAGGTTGGGGTACTGAGGGCCTGAGGGGCCCCAATGGATTCACGAAAAAAGTGAGTCAGTTTCAGTATCAAAACATCTCAAGACATCTCAAAACCATCCATTTGAAGTAGTCTGATTCCACTTTTTAGGGTGATCATTTTGACCATTACCATCCGATACCCGCCATACCCATGTGACCCAATGTGTCTCTGATGATCTATCGTGTAACTATTCGGATGTGGGTCCAACAGGGCCACCACACCTTTCTTGCCAGTCGCTCAGATCTGCGCCTGCAGGTGGCCATTTGGGATGTTCTTTCGAGGGAAAACGTAGAGATTTGTGGCTTGAGGTGTACACAGTACTGTACACAGAAACCAGAACGGTTGTCTACCGTCACCGAAACATGATGATATAGTATGATACCCTCTGGTAATTTAACATAGCTATGGAAAATCACCATTTTTAATGGGAAAATCCACTATAAATGGTCATGTTCAATAGTTTTTTGTTAAATTACCAGAGGGTATCCATCACAGGCAGGGACTTTGGGTATCCCAAGCTGTTGGATTCACCACTGGGCCTCCACCCGGCAGCACGAAGACAGCAGTCTGACGGTCTTGAAGGCCGAGCCTGTGCCACGCGTTGCGTCGCCAGATACCGCAAGGATGAGCCTCATCATATGCATCTAAGATCATCTACTAATGTCTGTATTCAAGCAATATAAAAATATAGTACTTAACTAAACATAGACATAATTATTTATAGTTATTTATATCATATATATATATTATACATTCATAATCTATAACCATTGAAATAGTATGCTTCAACATCCTTTAGCCATCCCAAGGGCCTCTTCCGTTCCTGGGGTGCCTTCATCAGTCGCAAGAAGGGCACCTCAAGAATCCCACGTTTTCCCGCGCGGCGTTGGTCTGGAAATGGTTGATTTACGAATATGGCAATTTTTATAGGAAAACCATTGATCCGCCGACCCCTGCCGACAGCAGGGGGAGCGCGTCAGAGGAGGAATTACCAGCAGCAAGGGCCAAGAAGTCATTACAAGCAGCAAGGGCAAGAAGCAAGAAAACATGAAAGAAGAAGCAAGAAGCAAGAAGCAATTACAGGCAACAAGCGGCAAGAAGCAAGAAACAAGAAGCCAGGAAGCAACAAGCGGCTGGAAGACAGGTCAGAGAAGTCATTACAAACAGCAAGGGCAAGAAGCAAAAAAACAAGAAAGAAGAAGCAAGAAGCAAGAAGCAATTACAGGCAACAAGCGGCAAGAAGCAAGAAACAAGAAGCCAGGAAGCAACAAGCGGCTGGAAGACAGGTCAGAGAAGCAAGAAACAAGAAGCCAGGAAGCAACAAGCGGCTGGAAGACAGGTCAGAGAGCTAGTTTTCTTGTCGATTCAGAAAGCAACGTTAGGCAGGCGGCTGGAAGACAGGTCAGAGAGCTAGTTTTCTTGTCGATTCAGAAAGCAACGTTAGGCAGGCGGCTGGAAGACAGCTCAGAGAGCTAGTTTTCTCCGGAGGCTCGGTCCGTCCTTCAGGGCCCTGCTGTTTTGCTGTGGCGAGGCTGCCGTTTGTGAGCCTTGACGGCTGGAAGAGAGCTAGTTTTCTTGTAGGTTCAGAAAGCGACGTTAAGCAGTGGGAGCCGTTGCCCGGAGGCTCGGTCCGTCCTTCAGGGCCCTGCTGTTTTGCTGTGGCGAGGGCGCCGTTTGTGAGCCTTGACGGCTGGAAGAGAGCTAGTTTGGGAGCCGTTGCCCGGAGGCCCGGTCCGTCCCTCAGGGCCCTCCCTGCCGTTTTGCTGTGGCGAGGGCGCCGTTTGTGAGCCTTGACGGCTGGAAGAGAGCTAGTTTTCTTGTAGGTCCAGAAAGCAACGTTAGGCAGTGGGAGCCGTTGCCCGGAGGCTCGGTCCGTCCTTCAGGGCCCTGCTGTTTTGCTGTGGCGGTGGCGCCGTTTGTGAGCCTTGACGGCTGGAAGAGAGCTAGTTTGGGAGCCGTTGCCCGGAGGCTCGGTCCGTCCTTCAGGCCCTGCTGTTTTGCTTGTGGCGAGGGCGCCGTTTTGAGCCATTGACGCGGAGAGAGCTAGTTTTCTTGTAGGTTCAGAAAGCGACGTTAGGCAGTGGGAGCCGTTGCCCGGAGGCTCGGTCCGTCCTTCAGGGCCCTGCTGTTTTGCTGTGGCGAGGGCGCCGCTTGTGAGCCTTGACGGCTGGAAGAGAGCTAGTTTTCTTGTAGGTTCAGAAAGCGACGTTAGGCAGTGGGAGCCGTTGCCCGGAGGCTCGGTCCGTCCTTCAGGGCCCTGCTGTTTTGCTGTGGCGAGGGGGCCGTTTGTGAGCCTTGACGGCTGGAAGAGAGCTAGTTTGGAGCGTTGCCGGAGGCCCGGGTCAGCCCTCCAGGGCCTCCCTGCCGTTTTTGCTGTTGGCGAGGGGGGCCCCCTGGTGAGCCTGACGGCTGGAGAGAGCTGTTTTCTTGTAGGTTCAGAAAGCGACGTTAGCAGTGGGAGCCGTTGCCCGGAGGCTCGGTCCGTCCTTCAGTGCCCTGCTGTTTTGCTGTGGCGGAGGCGCCGTTTGTGAGCCTTGACGGCTGGAAGAGAGCTAGTTTGGGAGCCGTTGCCCGGAGGCTCGGTCCGTCCTTCAGGGCCCTGCTGTTTTGCTGTGGCGAGGGCGCCGTTTGTGAGCCTTGACGGCTGGAAGAGAGCTAGTTTTCTTGTAGGTTCGGAAAGCAACGTTAGGCAGTGGGAGCCGTTGCCCGGAGGCTCGGTCCGTCCTTCAGGGCCCTGCTGTTTTGCTGTGGCGAGGGCGCCGTTTGTGAGCCTTGACGGCTGGAAGTTTTCTTGTAGGTTCAGAAAGCGACGTTAGGCAGTGGGAGCCGTTGCCCGGAGGCTCGGTCCGTCCTTCAGGGCCCTGCTGTTTTGCTGTGGCGAGGGCGCTGTTTGTGAGCCTTGACGGCTGGAAGAGAGCTAGTTTGGGAGCCGTTGCCCGGAGGCCCGGTCCGTCCTTCAGGGCCCTGCTGTTTTGCTGTGGCGAGGCTGCCGTTTGTGAGCCTTGACGGCTGGAAGAGAACTAGTTTTCTTGTAGGTTCAGAAAGCGACGTTAAGCAGTGGGAGCCGTTGCCCGGAGGCTCGGTCCGTCCTTCAGGGTCCTGCTGTTTTGCTGTGGCGAGGGCGCCGTTTGTGAGCCTTGACGGCTGGAAGAGAGCTAGTTTTCTTGTAGGTTCAGAAAGCAACGTTAGGCACTGGGAGCCGTTGCCCGGAGGCTCGGTCCGTCCTTCAGGGCCCTGCTGTTTTGCTGTGGCGGAGGCGCCGTGTGAGATTGACGGTGAAGAGAGCTAGTTTGGAGACGTTGCCCTAGAGCAGGCCCGGTCCGTCCATCAGGGCCCTGCGTTTTGCTGTGGCGGGGCGCGTTTGTGAGCCTTGACGGCTGGAAGAGAGCTAGTTTTCTTGTAGGTTCAGAAAGCGACGTTAGGCAGTGGGAGCCGTTGCCCGGAGGCTCGGTCCGTCCTTCAGGGCCCTGCTGTTTTGCTGTGGCGAGGGCGCCGTTTGTGAAGCTTGACGGCTGGAAGAGAGCTAGTTTGGGAGCCGTTGCCCGGAGGCTCGGTCCGTCCTTCAGGGCCCTGCTGTTTTGCTGTGGCGAGGCTGCCGTTTGTGAGCCTTGACGGCTGGAAGAGGGCTAGTTTTCTTGTAGGTTCATGAAAGCGACGTTAGAAGGGGTAGAGCCGTTTTGCCCGGAGCTCGGTCAGTCTTCAGGGCCCTGCCGTTTTGCTGTGGCGAGGGCGCCCCTTGTGAGCCTTGACGGCTGGAAGAGAGCTAGTTTTCTTGTAGGTTCAGAAAGCGACGTTAGGCAGTGGGAGCCGTTGCCCGGAGGCTCGGTCCGTCCTTCAAGGCCCTGCTGTTTTGCTGTGGCGAGGGCGCCGTTTGTGAGCCTTGACGGCTGGAAGAGAGCTAGTTTTCTTGTAGGTTCAGAAAGCGACGTTAGGCAGTGGGAGCCGTTGCCCGGAGGCTCGGTCCGTCCTTCAGGGCCCTGCTGTTTTGCTGTGGCGAGGGCGCCGTTTGTGAGCCTTGACGGCTGGAAGAGAGCTAGTTTGGGTGCCGTTGCCCGGAGGCTCGGTCCGTCCTTCAGGGCCCTGCTGTTTTGCTGTGGCGAGGGCGCCGTTTGTGAGCCTTGACGGCTGGAAGAGAGCTAGTTTTCTTGTAGGTTCAGAAAGCAACGTTAGGCAGTGGGAGCCGTTGCCCGGAGGCTCGGTCCGTCCTTCAGGGCCCTGCTGTTTTGCTGTGGCGAGGGCGCCGTTTGTGAGCCTTGACGGCTGGAAGAGAGCTAGTTTTCTTGTAGGTTCAGAAAGCAACGTTAGGCAGTGGGAGCCGTTGCCCGGAGGGTTCCATCAACTATGCACGTGCCAGTGGTTGGTGGGACACTGCTTTCCGTTGGGAGTGCGATGAGTTACTTGAATTCGGCCGGAAGCTTTTGTTGAATGCACCACCGCGCTGCATGTCGGACACGTGTGCGTATGCGTGCGACCTGCAAGCAAGCCATTTGCAACGCGAAATTTGTGGCCGCAACCATCACCTCGGCGGTGATCGATTTGTCCTGTTGCCACTTTGCTTTGCACAGATTTGGCGCAGTGTGGGCAGATGTATGTGTACAGTTGTGGCGTAACCGTGTCAGGCCCGACAGCAAGCTGCTGGTTCGATGCGTGGGCAGTGTCCGTTTTGGGAGCTTCTGCTCGCGTGGAAGTTTGTCTTGCTTCGTGTATTTCCTGAATTTCCTTGCGAACGTCCTCTAGGATTGCTGCGTGACGGTGGCGGGTTTCGCGTTGGCGCAAGCGGGCCAGGCGTTGATTCGTGCGATGAGCAAGACGGCAAACGAAGGCAAAGGCTGTGCATGCGTTGCATACTTGTGTGCCGTCTTGAGTATATTCACGACCTTGTTGCCAAGCTGTAAACTCTGTTCGTGGCTTGCGTTCCGCGCACTGGCGACATTGCCAACAGCCGCGTACTTTGGTGGCACATTCTCTGCAGCAGCGGCGATCCGCGTGGCGAGCTTTCCATGCGGCTGCGCCAAAGTCGGATTCTGCTTTCACAACGCCACACTTGAAACAAGGTTTCTTCACTTCACATGTCAAACACACACGAAAAAAACTACATTGCCGTTGACGATGCTTTGCTGGAAAATTGTCTTCGGCATGCCACAGCTTGCAAACGTTGCATTGCCACGGCGCCCGGAGGCTCGGTCCGTACTTCAGGGCCCTGCTGTTTTGCTGTGGCGAGGGCGCCGTTTGTGAGCCTTGACGGCTGGAAGAGAGCTAGTTTTCTTGTAGGTTCAGAAAGCAACGTTAGGCAGTGGGAGCCGTTGCCCGGAGGGTTCCATCAACTATGCACGTGCCAGTGGTTGGTGGGACACTGCTTTCCGTTGGGAGTGCGATGAGTTACTTGAATTCGGCCGGAAGCTTTTGTTGAATGCACTACCGCGCTGCATGTCGGACACGTGTGCGTATGCGTGCGACCTGCAAGCAAGCCATTTGCAACGCGAAATTTGTGGCCGCAACCATCACCTCGGCGGTGATCGATTTGTCCTGTTGCCACTTTGCTTTGCACAGATTTGGCGCAGTGTGGGCAGATGTATGTGTACAGTTGTGGCGTAACCGTGTCAGGCCCGACAGCAAGCTGCTGGTTCGATGCGTGGGCAGTGTCCGTTTTGGGAGCTTCTGCTCGCGTGGAAGTTTGTCTTGCTTCGTGTATTTCCTGAATTTCCTTGCGAACGTCCTCTAGGATTGCTGCGTGACGCTGGCGGGTTTCGCGTTGGCGCAAGCGGGCCAGGCGTTGATTCGTGCGATGAGCAAGACGGCAAACGAAGGCAAAGGCTGTGCATGCGTTGCATACTTGTGTGCCGTCTTGAGTATATTCACGACCTTGTTGCCAAGCTGTAAACTCTGTTCGTGGCTTGCGTTCCGCGCACTGGCGACATTGCCAACAGCCGCGTACTTTGGTGGCACATTCTCTGCAGCAAACAGAACAAGGTAAATCAGCTCGACGAGTATTTAGCAGTTTACCGCCCCCCGCTCGCCGCCCCAAGCTACCCTGCCTGGGGTCGGCGGCAGGGGGCGTAGCCCCTTAATAAATGATGAAAAATGATGAGAAATGATGATTAGCTAGTGGATTTGGGGCTCCCTGTTTCAAGGCAAACCCACACTGAGTATTGAGCAGGGCCGTTCTTCAACCGCACGGTCAGAGGCAGCACGGGAGACAACCTACCGGTCGCACAGACTGCAATCATACACCCTTTTTGCAAATGTCGGTTGCCACACACCACTCCCAGTCTCGCATGTTCTGTTCCATGACAGCTGTGCAGAAGAACCTTTGTGAGGGATCTTTGGGGCCACGAAATTTGGGTGTCCTGCTTTGGCAACGCGAAGCAGCCCCCAGCTTCAAAGTTCAAAGACACAATGTCAGAGCTCCCAAAACACTTGGGTTTCCCAATCCACCACACCGGATCATTTGGGAAGTGGCCCAGGTGGCCTATCCTGTGTTCATTCCACATTCTCTTGGGCCCCCAGGCATTTGAGTCATCCGCTGCATGTTGCCAGGGTGAGGATTGAATAGCCTTGCTTGCCCGAGCAAATTGAGGCCAAGTTATTAAAATTAAAACACGTTTTTTCCTGGGCATCCTTCAGCAAATGGCAAAATGAGTCTTCAGCTGATTTGCCCCAGCCGTATTCGGACTCCACAGTCCAACAAATCCAGCTCCCAAAAACACTGGGTTTCCATGACGAACCCAAAGCCGCCGGCCCGGAGTGAGACAACAACCTCTACCGGGAAGCACCGGGGAAAAAAAACACAACAGGGCATTTCTATAGGATTCTCCCTCATGGCAATGTGTCGTTCTCAACGTTCTTTTAGCATATTCACGAGCCCTTATTTGAACTGGCGAACATAACGAGGATATACTGTACATGTGTTTTAAGCTTCATTGAAGCAATACTGACATGGGCATCGGAAGTGACAAGACACTGGTAACTTCATCTGGGTTCAAGGCCTCTGACCCTTCAGTTTCACAAATGAAAACACCTTGCCCACGGAAAGCGCCTAAGATACAAGAGCGCCCTGTCCCGCAGGTCTACGTCGGACCTAAGTCTGTGAGCGTTGAGGGTTTGGAAGGTTTGTAAGTCATCTTGGGACAGCATCACAGTTCACCAGGAGGCCCAACTGATAAGTTGCCAGGTGCTGGAGGAGTCGCAACATCGGTTGGTAGATCACCGCCTGTCCAAGGATTTTTGACTATTCTGCTGTGAAACTCTTCGCTGGTTGCAAGATCGAACCTACAAAAACTGGATGTTCCGAGCGGGTATTTGCCCGACAAAATCCTCGTGCGCTCAGTCGTTCAAAGTCTTCCGACAATTTCATGTCAGCTATTTGAAGGTCGCTTTACAATCAAGGCCCTTTATCTTGTCAGAAGCCCAGTGGTTTCAAATTTTGTGACCTTGTCAAAACTGCCCACTGTAGAACTGTATACATGACTTGAGGCCGAAGGGAGGGGGACGAAAACTGGTTGTGCAAGGAGAGGTGTGTATTGAGAGAATATGTGGCGCGACTTTTGAGTGACATTTTTTGGACTGAAATAAACTACCATTCGATGTTGCTGACACGCTAACAGCAGCGTATCATAATATCCTAGCTCACTCGCACGCAATAGAATCATTCCACAACCTTCCCCCTGACATCCCAGCAAACCAGCGTCAACATTACGCTCCGAGTACTCTACTCTACTTGCCAAATACAAAGTACCCCAACCGAACGCGCTTCGGTTGAGCCACTTTACAACCATCTGATTGGGCCTCTTTCCCTCGGTTTCAGTGTTCCTTACCGTGACATATTACATACATACATACATACATGCATGCATGCATGCATGCATACATACATACATACATACATGCATGCATACAGACATGCATGCATGCATGACAGTACAGTACAGTACAGTACAGTACAGTACAGTACAGTACAGTACAGTACAGTACAGTACAGTACAGTACAGTACAGTACATACATATTTATGTCTATGATGCATATATCTAAGTATCTCTATTCTGCCTAGTTACATTTATATATATATATATATATCCACTGTACATCCACTATACAAATAGCCCAGACTTTGAATCTTGTTATTTTGGTGCATACATCCATCGAGCAAGAAATGTGTGGGAATCTTAAGATGCGCATCTTCCATTCCTCGCCAAGGCCTGGTAATGTGTTTATGCAGACCTCCTGGGGACATGGAATGCAAGACTCCATGTGGTTGTTCTCTCGGCACGCTACATAACTTAACATTACATTACATTACGCTACGTTACATTACACTACATTAGATTAGATTAGATTTACATTACATGATGTTAAATTAAATTAGATCGCGTTAGGTTGGATTCCATTACATTAGATTACACTCTACAGGCTAGATTGCATTATACTGAGTTTGCATCCCATTGCTGTACATTAATAACGCTCACGGTGAATATCATCTTGTATATGCGTGCATGTGTGGGCATGCGAACCTGTGGACGCAGCAGGGTTTGAGCCCAACCGGGGGTCACAGTTCGACATGGTTAATCATGTCCAACAATGGGCCCCCAAAACCGGTTGGGCATGAAAGGTCATGGAAGCTGCATCCAGTCTGCCCCCAATTCATTCCTAAAGCAAATCCAACTCCAGCTAGCAAGCTGGCTTTCGTGATCTTGAGAATTGCATGCATGGGCCAAAGTGTGCCAACACAGCTTCTCTCACATTGCTTCCCGCCCGAAAGTCCTTGACTAAGGCTCAGTGTATACGCCAATGGCCAGAGTCGAAAGAGCCACCACCCTTCTCCAGGCTCCCAAGCACAAAGGACGGCTCAACACCTGTCGTTTCTCTGGAGGCTCCTTCGAGCACCAGGTTCACAAATTTTCGGTTCCACGTGGACTGTTCGTCCGAGACTTCTGGGACAAAGGCGTTGCCACTTTCAATCGCCTCCGCCACCTTCCAAGCTTCTGAATCGATAGAGCAATCTTTAAACCACTCATTTCCCTTCTCAGGCCAACACCCACTATCCATGCTCCTCCAGTGGACCTCCTTCCCCCAATTCCAGCCGATTTCCTTCGAGTCCACAACAACAGGCCATTGGAACCAGTAGTTCGACGTCGGGTCAATCGCCGAAGTCACAAGGGCCGGCCCACCAGTGCTGTTGCAGTACTGGCATAGACTTGTGGGCGCAGCCCTGCAAACCCCGCAGCTCACAAGTTCTGACTGCGACACGCTGTCTGGACATGGGACATCGAAGCTGGGAAAGGGAAAGATGGGAAAGGCGTTGAAGTTGGGAGCTGCGGTGGCCAGGAAATTCGCAAGGGCAGAAGGTGCGAAGAGCAATTATTTAATGCCACAAGACTGCATGAATGCGGCAGCAACTCTTTCAAAGCTCTGAAAATCTCACAGATCAGATAGAGCCAAAATCTTGAGTCTACGCAACACAGGATAGGGGAGCTGATCTTTTGCTCAAACGCAAATCCTACGCAACAGCGGGGCAACAAACCTGCAACAGCTGCCCTTCCCCTCTGATCAACTGGCATTGCAACGGCATGTGCCTGTGGATGTGAGAGAATCATTCGCCGGCACGTGATCAGCACACGCCTGGGGCTCAGCAAGTGTGGTTCGTTTTGGCACTTCCAAATGCCTGAAATTAAGGAAAGCAAGTGCTTCCATTTGGACGAAATCATTTTGGCATAGGCCGAAATTTGATGAAGTGCATGCTTGAACACCACAAACACTCAACATCTGGTCTTTGAATGTCGTTGAGTTTTATTTTGTGAACTGCCATTGCGAACCTAGCGAACTGTTGTAGTTCTTACTAACCCAGCTAGCAGCCGAGGCCCTGACATGCCAGCTTCCCAGGTCAAACACGAAGGGCAAAAGACCAGGCGTCGCAGCGCCGTGAGGACATAACTGCGGGCCATGCGCTGGAAAGTGGTCGGAAGGCATACTGGGCTGACTTAGCACACTTGGCAGCAAACAGATTGCAGCAGCAACTTCCCGGTTAACCCTGATATGCCGTGTTCGTTTGTGATTTTGAAAAGAACTTTGCCGAATTTGGGAATTTCACGAGGTGCTTGTGATGGCGTAACTTGGTACATTTGACCCTTTGACTTTTCTTAACATGCCTCAAGGCTGAAACTGACGAGTGGCGCTCCCAAAGAGCTTCAGGTGATGGATCTTCTCACGATAATGTCAAGAGAAAACCTCGCCAGTCTCATCTCCAGCCTTGGATCCAGCCAAGGCATTTCCGAGAGAATCACCAACAGCCCAAAGTAGCGCTGTATCCTGACACGTGCATAGCTTCAATGGCCCTGGCTACTGAAAGCCTGTGATGGTCAATCCCTAGATGGAATGCAGTGCAGTGCAGAATGTGGAGGCGGTTCTGAAAAAAAAACTCCAACCACTGCAGTTAGATAGTTAGATCTTGCATCAAATCCTGATAGTTTAAGGATCCAAATCCATTGATATCCCAGCCGCTCCCAGCCTTGAAGGCGGTTCCAGGTGAGATACGAAATGCCCAAGGGAATGTAGCAGTTTGTACTGCACCGCCTGGGCTGTGCGATCCATCAGCCACCCCACAGCCCCAGGAATGGACCATGTCATCCCGCATCCTGCATCCTACACCAGGATCTTGCTTCGCCTGGGAGTTCACTCGTTGATTCAGCGCCAAGACCTAGGCAGAAAAAAGCGGCTACCAGGCTTACCAACGAAAAATGAGATGTGAAGAAGTCTCTGAGTACGTGTTAAGTACGAAATACCCTGTATGATTATTATATAATTGCAAATGAAAATTAGAACCCTTGTTTCGTAAAGCTCAAATATGTTTCTTGTAATTAGACCATGCCCTAGCAGCATCCTGTCTATTTGTTTGAAGTCAAATCACAAATGTATACATCATAGCAAAACGATGCGTGACTGCAGCAAGCTGCCCAGTGAACAGCCTGATCTGTTGTCAAAAACCATTGGTACCCTCTGGTAATTTAACATAGCTATGGAAAATCAGCATATTTAATGGGAAAAACCACTATAAATGGCCATTTTCAATAGCTATGTTAATTTACCAGAGGGTATCCCCCAATGTTCAGACAGTGTCCCGGACTGAGGGCAACAGGCAAAGTCGCGAGCGCCTCAAGTTCAGCGACTTTCGATGCAAGTTGGATGATATGGGTAGGACATTGTTCCAAGATTGGATCGTTACACCATGTTACACCCAGTATTGATCCTTTGTGAACAGAAATCAATGGCCAAAATCCAGTCGCGACATGTCGCGACCCCATGGGCCCCATGGGCCCATAAATGGGCCCCTGGCAGCATGTCACACAGCTCTTGCGGCACCTGGCCGCGCCCCAGGTGCCAGGCTGTCGCTCCCAAACCCTTGGTGCCCTTGTGCCCTTGGTGAGTGTAGAATCCAACCAGCGTTGGTGCTACAAAAATGTCAAGATTGAGACTTTGTTGAGATGAAAGTGACATGGTGTCGTAATGTTCTGGAGCACCTCCGTTGAGCTTGAAGCTCTCAAAACCCACAGGCAAGTTGCAAAATCCACGTCAAATATCCAGCCTCAAGACGATCCATCTCAGATGGGAAATCCTTGGCAGGGCTTGGTGCCTCTTGAAGAAGCTATGAACATGACTTGGCTTTTCTCACCGAAAAGTGCTAATACCACTCTAAAGCTTCTCCAGGCAGTCTGATTCTGCAAGGGGTTAGATATATCAACATACGTGGTCAAGGCTTCGATTTGGGCTTGGATCAATCTTTGGACCTGAACGGTGGTCATCGTCGAGGCACAATCAACACCCGCAAAAGGAAACGGAAAACCACGGCATGTGCTCCAACCTTGGGCGAGGGATAGGGTTTGTAGGCAACGTCCCAACTGACCGGACATTGAAAAGGACATGCCATCTTCATGCACAATGGGAGAACTTCCGTTTTTAATCTGTTTTATGTGATGTCACGATGGGAAATGGCTGGTGTTCCATCAATCTTGGCTAGAAGACAACTGCCACAAACCCAAAGAATTAATAAGTTGAGATGTCAACCATGTTCAATCATCATTTGTATAGTCCTTTGAAACTTTGATACAGTACTGAATGGAATAGCTTTATCATGGTTTATCATGGTTTATTGATGTCCGTGCCATTCTGAACCCATGTTCGAACGGATGCAACGGCTGAGGAGGCGGGCGGGGCGTTGGCAGTACTTGAACTCCGACAAGGACTCCAGCACAATCTGGGCAGCTGCGGTCAAGCAAGAAATGGTTGAGGTCGACGTTTATAGTAAAGTAACCCCGAAAAGATATAGGGATGTATCAAAACCAATCTTGCTATATTTGGGGGGATGAACATCCATTTACCAGCTATTTTGGGGTTCACTAGGGGTACAAGGTTTTGACACACTGCCATATCAAAGAAGTAACTTATGGCTATGTTATACTATGTTGCTATTTTAGTGGGATTGCACTTTTCCATCAGTTTGCCGGGCTTTCCAGAAAGGATGTTTAGGGATCAAATTGACCAACATCTTACATCTGCAATCACAGGAATCTGTGGATTGGGGGGTTTGGGCAAGTTTGACCCATACACAGTGTAGGTGCTTATTGTGTGTCTTATTTGAAGTTGGGGAGCCTCACAATATCCAGCACTTTGTTGTTTGGGACATCACTTGCGTAACAATCATAGTAATGATAGGGTCCATGAAGTGCTTCTTTTCCTTTCCGTTGAAACTTTCCTGGGCACCAGACAAGAAGGTTGCTAGGCAAGATCTGGGAGAGCTTGAAGCAGTACAGCAATGCCTTGCGACTGAGAGAGACTTTTATCAAACTAAAGCTGACTGAAATCGTTGGCGACTCACCTGACCCCAAATCATTTCACTTGGAATGTTACAAAAGCTACAAGTATCATCAAGTATCATCAAGTATCATAGTATCAACCGTAATCCATTCACATCAAGCAGCAACCGGAAGTCTCAGTAAGTCACTGACTCGCACTGCCAGGTCACTTGAAGCTTCATCTCATTCAATTCCAATGGATCATGCCATCGGGGACAAAGTTCTTGAATCCGAGCCCAAAGCATTTCGAATGAGACCTTTGTGGTGAGGGCGATTAGCCAACCTCAGGTCACTCCCACACTGGCGGTCGCTTAAATAAGATGTTGCGGTGCTTGGCAACGTACTGGGTCTATCTTGACATTGGAAACCCTCAGGGCCCATGGTTTCAGGTTCCCTCCAGTAGGATACAAACGATCTTGACTTGGCAACGAAAATACAATATTGACAACATTGACAATACAGTCTTCTCACACCTTCAGGGTAAATGTCCAAGCACCCTTTTGCATCACCACTGGAGGAATTCAGCCGAGCAACTTACAGAAAGCATTCGGAAGCAAGGCTCCTTTGCTGCGTCAACATCGCAAACAGCTTGAACCCGAGACGGGCTTTTATTTGCTGCAGTAGGATCCCACAGGACTGACAAACTCCATCCATGTTCTATACCTCTGATTGCTGAAGCAGGTGAGTTGATGCTGTTTTGAAAGTGCCCAAGCAAAAAACCTTCATTTTGATGCGGCTTCTGACCGATTGCTGAAACAACAGAGTGACGGCACTGGCCCCTGGGCGGCAGCCTCACACATGGCAATGGAAGTAAAATGTCTACGGAACAAATACCGCACAGATCTGCACAGTTGCAACAGATTTTCCACGGCTCATGTTCTGTCTCTCAGCTTGTGTTTGTGGGGTTTTAGCAGCCATACTCTCCCAACAATGGATGAATTTCATTGATTTTCCATCCGCGGGAATACCTTTCATTTGATATTAAATCGCACAAATTGTAAATCAAATCATATCAAATCTAACATAATCTACCCTCTGGTAATTTAACATAGCTATGGAAAATCACCATTTTTACTCACTATAAATGGCCATTTTCAATAGCTATGTTAATTTACCAGAGGGTAACCAGCTATAACCAGCTGTTTCTTCCCCCGCCATTCCGTCCAAGGCTCCATGGCGCCATCCTGCAGCAAGGCAAAGAGCCGATGCAGCACCGCTTCAGCCACGGACTTGTCCACCTGGGCGGAAAGTGGCGATGGAAAACAACTGGAGGATCCTGAGCTCGAGAAAATTTGAGAAAACCCCAGTGAGCATTCATATCATTCATAGGTTTCCGCGATGGTTTGGGAATTTAGGTGGAAGCATCGACTGTCTCATCGTGGTTTTTTGCCATCCATCCATCCCAAATCATGGCGCCAATCCATCCTGTGACCCCAACGCCCCGTCACCTCCTTGGCAAACAAGGCGTTCACCACCATGAAGGCATGGAGCAGCGACGGCCGCGACGCATGCAGCAGCGGCGAGAAGTGGTGGAAGACCACCCGCTGCGGCAGCGCCAAGACGCGCACGAAGAGGCTCAGACGCTCCGCGATGAAGATCTTGGTCCTGACACAAGCCATTGATTTCATCTCCAATATACCGCTTTCCCGCAGGTCTTCCCTTCAATTCTGGGATTCGCAACAAACTGGGTTGGCTGACCGGTGACAATCCCAAGTTGAATAGGAACTGGTTCGCAACATTTCGCAACTATACCTCATTTAGAGATCGAGTAACCCAAGGACAGAACTTGCAGTACTGACGCAAAGAAATAATCGCTGGGGGCCCTACTCCGAAATTGTACCATACCAGTACCAGTGAATGGGGTTTTACTACCACGGAAAGCCATGTATCATCAGATTTGGCACTGCACATTCAATGAATTGGAATGTGTCACTCTCCTCACCAAACCCTCCAAAATCGATGCTACAACAGAAATTATTCGAAATAATAAATCCATATCAATATATCATAATATATCCATCTAATACCAGTACCATCTCTCCATTCCACATCCGACTGGGGGAAACGGGGAAACAAATGGCTTTGTCTGAAAATAGGGTATATTCCCAATGAAATAGCCATTTAATAGGGATAATGATCAGCAAAACCATTGGGTTTAGGGGTACCACCCATTTTCAGACAAACCATTTAATCATCTCCAAGTCTCCAAGAAGACGAGCTGGGCATCGCATCCAGTACCAGACCGATGCTTCTGGTCATGATGCGCAGCAGCTTCCGCGGCAGCCGCGGAGGCGTTTGCTCCGCCGGCAGGTCGAAGGATGGCCCAGGGCCGCGGGAACAGTTCCTGGATGATCATCTCAACATATCTCAACAGCTTCACCCCAGGGGATTCGAAAATATCTTTCCTCTAAAAATTGCTAATTCTCAGGGTTCAGGTGAATTTGGGGCCCTTTGGGGGGGTGGTAAATGGGAGATAAATCATGAAACTCAACGAGACTCGCCATCTATTAATGCAGGGTTTCTTCAAAGTGGGGACCCAACGAAAAGACCAAAGCTGGTCGGTTTTAGCAATGCGATTGATTTGGGGGTCCGAAATTTTAGAGAGACCCCTAGAACCTACAGAATGCTTGAGTCAATCTATGGGAATACAATATGAGAAAATCATGGGATATCATCAACAATATCGTATCGGGTGTGTCTGCAAAATGGAGAATGCAGAATGGCGGATTGAATCAGACCATGGGCTGAAACCACATGGTCCAAAGTTGGCGCTACTCTTGTGGCACCATCTACTGCTCCAATTCTCGGTGCCCAACATTTCAGCTCCACATCCCAGCAGTCCTGGGGATGTGGAAGCGAAAAATGGCATCCTTGACCCCCATCGTCTCCCGCGCATCGGGCCGCGGCCCATCGCTGCGGCGCGGTGTCACTGGGGGGGTGGCAGCCAGCTCCTCTTGTCGCTCCTGCCACTGGAAAAGTACCCTCTGGTAAACTAACATAACTATGGAAAATCACCATTTTTAATGGGAAAACTCACTATAAATGGCCATTTTCAATAGCTATGTTAAATTACCAGAGGGTAGTCTTTACGATCTTTTCACAACAAGAAATTGGAAAATTGCTCGAAAAAAAAATGCTTCCTGTCAGCCTCCCTTAGTTGCTGAGATATTCCCAACCAACTTCCCAACCACTGGTATTGGTAATCACCTAATTCAGGTGCCTGAAAGATTCTGAAAGTGGCCAGGCACCATCAGCCAGGGAAAATCACCCCCAACACTTGGCGCCTCTGGCTGATGCTTCAGGGCCTCCTGCACCAACCTCCGAGGCATGGGAAGGTCCATCATTTCTGATGGGATCTGATGGGAATGACCCCCCAAAAGCTGCAAGTTGAGCAACTGCTCTGTGAAGTGCTGGATGGTGGTGAAGAACAACCTGGCATAGCTCTCCTGAACCCAGGACACCCATCGGATCAATCCCCGGAAATTTCCGGGGTTCATTGGGCCCTCAAGATTCGGACAGCTGACTTTGTTCTGGATCCTATCAAGGTGCTGTCCCTCATTTCTGGAACTTCAACGGCCACAAAGCTATCACTACGTCCCGATGGACGCTCCTGGATATGCAGCAACTCGTCGTTGACAAATTTCCCCAGGGTGGCCGAAGCATCCACGACGGTTGCTCCTTCCTCGGGCGCAAAGTTAGAAATCGATCATTCACACATCAAGAAAGGTGTTTTGTATATCTGAAGGCTTCCTAAAATGGTGGTACCCCAAAATGCATGATTTATAATGGAAAATCCGGTTAAAATGGATGATTTGGGATATCCCCATTTGAGGAAACCTCCATTTAAGTACTGAAATTTCCAGGCATCAGAAAATAAAAACTAAAGACTGCTGAGCTCACGCAGCTCAGCTTCCACTGTAGCGGTCATGCCTTCTGCCCAAATGGGTGGCACTCGCCAATCTTCACCAAGGAGCGGAAACCTTAGACTCAGACCGATAATGCAGCTGTATCAGTCATTGATCTCATCCAATGTTCAGAGACATTGGACAAAATTGGAAGCCACTATCGCATTTTTTTGGTTGCATCCAAAGTCTTCAAATAAGCAAGTTTCAAACGAAGGAGGCTTCCAAAAACCACGATTCTGCACTTTCACATACCAGGGTATCGACAAAGTATACCATGTTGGTAGACTACCATGGTCCTAAATTTTGGTCACCAACATGGTATATTTTGTACATGGTAGTCTACCAACATGTCAACACCATCATCTTTCACGAAACATCACCATCTTTCACATCTGAGGTACAGCAAGCCAGGATGCCAACTCTCAAGCTCATGCAAGCACTCACCTCGTTCCACGCACAAAGATTGGATCATCCAAAAATTAGTACCGAAACGAGCCAAACAAAAAACGAAAAGATGATGCGTACGGGCAATATGGGTATCGTATCAAGTCACATGCATAGGCACGCAAGATCCGGTCTGCAGATTTGTTGGTGTGTTTCACCTTGGCGGACAGCAGCTGTCAGATGCTCTCAATGCTCACAGCTGTCACCAAATCTCACCAAGCGACAATGGAATATAGCAAATCAACAAAGCCCTGGCCACTTGCCACAACCCAACGAACGCAACGGTAGGGTCCATGCAGCTTCGGCAAGTCATGGGGTGTCAGAATGTACAACTCCAAATGAAATCAAGAGGCAAAGTTGACAAGCACTCGGCTGATCTGATGCCACCATGCTAGGCAAAACTGATACTGTGGAATTTCCTCTGTACAGTACATCTACTTTGACATCGACTCAAACTCCTTAGTTCTGTCCTTAGCATGACTCCTTCCATGCTTGTATAAACTCCGTCGTGCTGCCTCAAAGCGTGCCACATCCTTCTCAAAGGTATTGAACTGGATCAGCAGCGCTGTGTAAGTTACAAGAACCTCATGGCTCCATGGCTCGCAAAAGGCAGAAACCTTGTCTAAGATCCACAAATCGATAGGAAAGTGCTATAACCTGCTATAACCTGCTATACAATGTTGTAATTCACATTTTCATCTAGGTGTTCTGAGATTTCAAAAATTACACCAACATGACCAACAAAACCTGAAACACACAGCAATGTGTGTACCGGCGCATTGCTGTGCGCCTGCGACTTCAAGGAGTAGGTCATCCCCTGCCCGTCCACTGGAGATCCCAAGATGTTTTCCAGCACGAAGTAAACCTTCCGCAGGCGCTCCTGATAGCGATGTGCTTGAAAAATGGTGTTTTTCATGTGTTTTTCATGTGAGATCTTCAGTAACCTGGTGAAATGATCTGAAAAAGAAAAACTGACTTCAAGTCGGTCCCAGACTCCTCGTCCCAGACTAAGCTCTTGCCGTGTTCCTCCAAAAAAACCAGGGCAGAGGTCCGTTCAACCTCATCCTTTTCCGTGAGAATGGTGAGAAGCAAAATGTCCAGCATCCTTTGCCCACGAGAAAGCAAAGGGCTGCAGAGTGGTTGGATAGATTATGATGGATCCACACAAGCTTGCGGGATCTTGTATGTATGCGCATATGTGGTACCTACAAATGGTAGATCTTTAAAAGGTGGATAGCATATGTGTATCTTTGTATGAATATATACATCATATGGATATAGATATAGATATCTATATATATATTGTATATATATATATATTGTATAATATATTGTATATATATATATATATCGTTGTATATCAATGGCATTTGCGAAGGCCACTGATTTGGGAGGACCAAATCTCCGCAACCAAAACCAGGAAGACCAGGGTGAGTCCGTGGAGGGGATCCAATCGAAAAAAAAACGGGTCTCCGGGGGGACACTCAAAATCATTGAACAATCTATATGGCTATGGATCAATACCTATTAATACCATTTTTAGTGGGATGAACATCCATTTACCAGCTATTTTGATGTTCACCAGGGGTACAAGGTTTTGACACACTGCCATATTTCCACTGAAACAGAGTGGCCAACTTGCTGTTGGCCAGGGCTTTTGAATTCAAAGTTGGAACTAGCATTTTGATAGTATGCAATAGCATAGGTGGTCCACGGTTTAGATCATGCTGCAGCCAAAAATGGTATATGTATGACTGCGTATAATGTCCACATGCCGTGAATCAACCCCCCGCAATTAAGTACGCCCAATCCCGGGAAATATTAATAACCCCCCCCCCGTAATAAAGTACGCCAGCAGATTTTTGATATGTTTTTTTCCGTGTTTTTTCCTGTTGTTTTTTCCGTTTTTTTCCCCGTCTTTTTTTCCGGTTTTTTCCCCGTTTTTTTTTCCCCGTGTTTTCCTGTTGTTTTGTCCTGTGTTTTTCCCCCTTGTTTGTGTTTTTTTTCCATTGTTTTTCTTGTTTTTTCACGTAGCCCTGGAGCCACTAACATCTAAATAATAATGAATGTTTGCACCCCCGCAATTCACTACGCCCAATCCCGGGAAATATTAATAAACACCCCCCGTAATAAAGTACGCCAACCGATTTTTGATATGTTTTTTTTGCACACCCCTAAATAAAGTATTCTGAAATATTTTTCCACGCTTAACATCTAAATAATGGATTCGTTTTCAATTAGGCAATTTGTTCGGCGCCATATAGGTCTGGAAAATTTTCCAGGGACCCCCGGCCAATGTTTGGCCTAAACTTTATTTTGATGCTCTTAATGTTTGGGGGGGTTATTAATAGCATGTCAACATTAATCGCCAAGTTGGTGTCCCAAAAGCCTGACCCACCTCCCAGGTCCCGAATCCGCAACGAGGCTCTGGAACTCGGACATGGATTCAGAGGGACTGCGTCCAGTGACCACGTATTTGAGCGCCTTTTCACTGCTTTCATCGTTCCAGCTGAAGGCATAGCGAAGCATCTCATAGGTCCAGTCCGACATCTTGCGAATGTTCCCCCTGAGCAGAATCTTTGGCGTCAAACTTTGACGCAACTTGGTTGGCATGTATTACCTGCATTGGCATGTCACGTAAACATCGTCACATTTTTGAAAACTACCAAAACCCCATGAATTAACAACGAAGACCTTCATTGATTCATGGTATGTCAGGCTTTTTCCAGCACCCGAATCCTCAGTCAAAATTGTCCATTCAGGTTGTCCCAATTTCGAAGCTTCCTGGCGTTTTCAGAAGCCCAGCTGCGTCCTTCAGCAGTCAGGGACCCCAGGGACACTTCACTGGCCGTGACCTTTGCAACCAGCTTCATGGCGCGGCATCCAACGTTTCGGATTCAAGATCTGAGTGCCAGTGGTTTTTCCTACTGGAATCAACCTGGTTTTTGATGTTTTTGTCTGTTCGAATCATTGAAACTTGGGCTTCCATTTTCTTCCCAAAACAAAGCGAGTGAGCTCATTTTTTTTGGGACTGCGTACATCAAATTGGTGCGTCCTGCTTCATACTGGTCGAAGCGGATTTATGTAATGTTTCAGCTGAGAGAAGTACGATCGCATCATTCAGCTATTCTGGTGGTACACCTATCTATCCAGTCACTGCATGATATTGGCCAGTCATGCCTGCAGCTTTGGGTTCAACGTGACCAGGAGGGCGTCTGCAATTTAACTTTGGCAGACTTGCCCTCAAAGCTGATAAGCCCAAACGGACACAAAGCCAGACTGAGGTTGGCATGGAACAAATATTCAAGTAGCAACACATGTCAACTTGAGTGCCGCCACAAGAGACCTCGTGCACTTGCAAAGTTTAGAAACTCAGCCCCGTTTTTCCAATGTTTGTTCGAACAGAAGGAACAGAAATCCATAATCACGCTATCAAACGTAAAGTTTTCTATCGAAAAAAACTCTGCCAGCAAGCATACGACTTTGGAGCCGCACGACAAAGAAGCAGAAAAGACATGAAAATACTACATGTCTTGCACCAAAAGCGTCTGCCACCAGATTCATGAGCTACCTCTTTTTCCGCGACAGTGCTGACACTAGGTAACTTGGGTAGCGCGAAATTTCCTGCACCACGCTCTCATGATTGTACCGCCAGCCTTGCCAAAGATCATTGCAGAATTATGGGGCAGGTAAGAGGTACACACTTGGAAGCAACCCAATTCAGAACTTGACGGAACGGCTTATGCCCGGTAGGTTCAGATTAAGCCATTTCAGCTGCTGACCCTTCAATCTGTTTACACCATCCAGTTGCTCAATCGGTTACCCATTGCTTCATGCCCATCATGGGGGTGTCTGAAAATCGTATTCCCTTCAAATGGCCATCTGAATGAGAAAATGATCATGAATCAGTGGATTTGGGCTGTTTTCCACCAAATTTTAAGACAAACCCATGATTTTTACGCGTGTTTATTGTATGTATATATATATATATGCATGTGATGTCATGAGATATATTTATATTATATATATCATAATATATATGTATGTATGTATGTATGTATGTATGTATGTATGTAAGTATGTAAGTACGTATGTGTATGTATGTATGTATGTATGCATGTATGTATGTATGTATGTAAGTATGTATGTGTATGTATGTGTATGTATGTGTATGTATGTGTATGTATGTGTATGTATGTGTATGTATGTGTATGTATGTGTATGTATGTGTATGTATGTGTATGTGTATGTATGTGTATGTATATGTATGTGTATGTATGTGTATGTATGTGTATGTATATGTATGTGTATGTATGTGTATGTATGCGTATGTATGTGTATGTATGTGTATGTATGTGTATGTATGTGTATGTCTGTGTATGTATGTGTATGTATGTGTATGTATGTATATGTATGTGTATGTATGTGTATGTATGTGTATGTATGTGTATGTATGTGTATGTATGTGTATGTATGTGTATGTATGTGTATGTATGTGTATGTATGTATGTATGTATGTGTATGTACGTGTATGTATGTATGTGTATGTATGTGTATGTATGTGTATGTATGTGTATGT